GTCAAAATAACAATGAAGATCACTAAACCAAATAACAAAGGTAATAGTACGTCTGTTATGATATCAAAATAAAGTTTACTAACTTGATCATCGTTCGTCTGTCTGAGGGCATTTTTCGTTGTCAAGTTGGTCAATTGGTAAAGATAACAAAACCAAGTGTAGATTGTTGGATTTGATCAGTGTGTAAAATTATAAAAGTAGTGTGAACTTGCTTATCACATTCGTGTTGATTTTGTCACTTCATGGGGGAGGGAGGGAGGTGTTGTAACCAGGTCAGATTCTCTTTTAGTCCATCATTCCTATTCAGACAATTTGGATTCCACTTGATATGAAGTGCCCCTGATGATATTAGACGTTCATTGTGATTTCTGAAGTTTTTCTGGATTATTTCAATATTGTCAAAATCAATTTTGTGGCCTGATTCTATAGCGTGTAGACCTATGGCTGATGATTTTTCAAGTTTTTCTAGTTCAACCGGATTTCTCGGTGATCGAACAGATGCTTTACGGTGTTCATTTCTTCTGATTTTGATTTCTCGAGATGTCTGTCCGATGTATATCGCATTACATTCCAAGTATTTTATTAATTCAAGGAAAGGTCGGCGACTATTGGGGAGACTGGTGAACCCATAGCAACACAATTTGTCTGTCTATATAAACTCCCTTTAAATATAAAATAACTACTTTCTAGACATAATTTTAAGCTCTTAATTATTTCACTGGTGTCCAGTGGACATCTTTGTGATAGCGTTGCATCTGATTCTAGTAGACTGGAAATGATATCAAGACTTTCGGTAATAGGGATACTAGTATATAATGAGTTAATATCATAGCTTACCATAATGTCTTCTTTATCAATTTCTCGGTGTTCTATTTGGGATTTGAAATCATATGAATTCCTGACAATATTTTGAGTGTCCTTTTGTAGTGGTTGCAGTATCGAGAGTAAGTATTTAGAGAGGTTGTATGTCGGTGAGTTGGTGAAATCTACTACTGGTCTTAATGGAACTGTGCGTTTATGTATCTTTGGTTGACCGCAGAATCTTGAAGGTAGATAAGATTTTGGTTTTAGTTTAAACCAGAGAGAATTTCCAATTTTGGGTTTCATTTCCTTCTTCTTTATGTTTACTAAAAGTCCCATCTTCTCTGCCGGTTTTTTCAGCCAGTTTGTTGGTTTTCGCCTGTAAGTCTTCTAATTTATGTGATATAACACATAAATCGTCCGCAAAGTCTAGATCTTCTAGAGTCTTTTTATCGGTCACTTCAACGTATTCCTGTCCACTCACTCCCCACAGTCTGCCTCATACCATATTTAAGTGCTTATTTTTACGTTCCTCAAAAGAAGACACATCTGCTGACTGGCTTCCTGAAGACTTTCAGCAGCTCATGACATCCCGTTTCTCCAACTTTAGCGAAGAATAAGTATTTTTTAGATTTTTGTCCCGTTTTGAAGTTTCTGTAGGGAGTGAGTGGATTGCTTTTCCATGTTAAGGTCTCTAGCCTCACGCCTAACCCTCCCTCCCTTTTCGAACTCAGAAGTGGCTGGAAAACTAGTGAATTAATGAAGTAGGCGAGGTTTTTTTTACTAATCTGAACGATACAAATTTAGATGGCATCACTTGAAAGACGGAGATTATCTGAAAAGAAAGAATGTTATGTATTTTCGTGGTACTTTTTGGACAACCTTACTACATGTTTGCCTGTCAAATCAGTTTATATGAAGAGTTAAAGGTTGGTGTTTATTGGGATTTAACAATTAGACAGATGACAGTTGACAGTACTGCTGGTAACTTAACCGGACGAAGATTTCCAAAGAATTTTAGTTAAGTTTTCGATTTCAGGATGAAACAGCCAGTCGTTAAGACCATTCAGCTATGAACTAGCTTGACAATGTGTAAGACGAATCCAGATCGCATGGAGAATATGTTTTTCTTTAGAAAAAGGAGTCATATGTATTCGATGTGCCTTCCTTGACTACACATCCGCATTCAACTCCTTACCCAGACATCTTTTGTTAAATAGGCTTTCTTAGACTCAAACGTAGTCCTTGGGTTGTTAACCGGTTGCGTTCTTATTTCTCGAACAGAATGCAGTACACTGTGCGTAAAGGCGAATATTTCTCTACCTTGCTTACCACTGAAGCCAGTTTCTCTCAAAGTGCTGTCCTCTCTCCTAACCTTTTTTCTTTCTTCCTACATGACTTGTCTCTTTCAGATGAAGTTGACTTCATGAAATACGCTGATAACCCAACTGTATGGTTGATAGATGCTTCCCGATCTGTTAGTTCCAAACTGAGTGGACAGCTTTTTGTCAGACATAAGGCAGTGGTACAAGCCAAATGGTTTTTATACAATAAATCCTTCTAAATGTCAGACTTAATAATTTTACCTTCAAACGTAAACGTGATCTACAAGAACTAGTTCGTTCACATGATGCTTATTCCATAGAAGCCACTGCAGTAAATAGGAACTGAGTCAAGCATAAAATATCTTGAAATAATCCTGTCCTCTGAAATTTCTTGATCATCCCATCCCGTATTTTGTCGACTTCTAAGAAATTGTTCTGTCTAACTTTCCACACTAAGAAGTTGAGACAATCAGGTTAACTCTCGCACCTAATCAAATGGCTTTTCTATTACTGTGTACTGCCACTATCGAAAAGATTTTATTTTGATGAGTCACACAGTATTATACAGTAATATTAACTGATGACAACGTTTCGAGCACAAATTATTGCCACTCATAATCACATCAAGTCACTACTCTCACAACCTTCTTCCTTCATTTATATACATGAGTGGAATCAATTCGATATTTGAATAAAAATCAATATGGGATAATGTACATTCAGAAATAATAATCATATGAGTGTTATTGATCAAATACAATTAGATGGGAAATAAGACGAATGTTCTTATAGTTATAATAAGTAACTTGTTAGAATGTTGTGATGTACGTGAATTGAATTGAAATAGAATTTTAAGATTATTTATAATCTTCCTCTGATTTGACTGACTGGTGGTAATAATATCTTCCATATCTGTGGTATTTGCGTTGAGTCATTTCTGTAGCTAAGGTAAGAATGGTTGACCCCGAGAAGATAAGTAATTTAGAAAAAAGCTCAGTACTACATTAAACTACATGCATTAACACACAACCACACAATAGGGTGGGAGAGGGTTAAGATTCTAAGAAGTAATCTATACAGGTGGAGAGCGATAGAGACAGGTTGATTACTGAATCTTGGTTCACCGAGTCTATACACCCAACACATACAACAGAAATGACTCAATGCAAATACCAGAGATATGGAAGATATTATTACCACCAGTCAGTCAAATCAGAGGAGGATAATAAATAATCTCAAAATTCTATTTCAATTCAAGCACATCACAACATTCTAACAAGTTACTTATTATGACTATAGAAACACTCGTCTTATTTCCCATCTGATTGTAATTGATTAATAACACTCATATTATTATTATTTCTGAATGTACATTATCCTATATTACTGATTTTTATTCAAATGTCTAATCATCAATTTCACTCATGTATATAAATGAAGGAAAAAGTTGTGTGAGTGAGTAACTTGGTATGATTATGAGTGGCAATAGTTTGTGTTCGAAGCATAGTCATCAGTTAATATTACTGTGTAACAAACACTGTGTGATTTATCAAAATAAAATCTTATCCGTAATGGAATTATACTCTACCACCACAGGGCCCACGTTTTATACTTATATCAATAGTGTATTGCCAGTAAGTCGACAGAAAAGCTGGACTCATGAAAGAACTCTTTTAAACCCTCCCCGTTGATACTCATAAAGTAGGAGGACTAGAGGTCATTATAAAAGATTATATGCTCGTTCACACAATTATGTATAGAAACTTAACGATACCCTATTTGGTCTGACAGTGTTCTGTGTGATAGAGACACTGACTGTTAAGCGTGAAACTTATAACAACTAACAGTGTGTGTAATTAGCAAAATAAATGACTCTTTTTTTATACTCCTATCTGCAATTTATGGTAAGACTGTTTCTATTGTTTTATACTTTCGTACACTTTTTGATCATATTGTTATAGATAAGACCAGAAAGCTGCTATTATCGATTTTGATTACCTATATCCTGTAATGTATTGCTAGTTGTTGTAAATGTTAAGTAAACTGGATGGAATATCGTACCAAGTAGTGAGAATTCTATGCACTGTATCATAAGTACTGTTTTAGAATAAAGCGATGTCAGTTCCTGATTAGGTCCTAAAATCAATGAAATCCTTGCAAACCAACACTTGAATAACAATCTATTGCTCATTAGTGACCGGCCCTATTCAGGTAGGTAGGTTACTTGGGTTCTAGTGGACACTTGTAACCACTGGAGCACAGCAGGTCTGGTGTGAGGACAAATACTCGCCATGGATGACAATCGCTAGTGGTCGCGCCATAACATAAATTAACAGAAGCTGAGACCCATGGGTTGGCCATTAGATCGAGTCTCGCCTTGTAACTGGAAGGTCCTGTATTCGAACTTCAATGCGTGCGTCCTGATGAAGAGTCCCAAACTAGACTGACGAAACAGCTGTCCGGTACTTTCTACTGATTTTCCATAGCCCTCTAACCGACGTCAGTTCATGATAAATTCCTGAAACAAATTATTATTATTATTAAAATGTTTATGGATTCCCTACAAACTAGTGTTGATAGATAAGTCTATTGTGACTGTCTCATCCTATTTTAACCCTAATTCATATATGTGTATGTAAACGTCAGAGTTGATCAAATAATATGGAGGTATAGGTGAGATAATTCTTCAAAAACTACCCTAAATACAAATGTATGTTGACTTCATATGGGCATATTGATTAAAATGTATGACACTTAACAACGGACATTTCACTATCAAACTAGGTTGCTTAATCATAGCGCATTTTTGTGAACAATGTATTCAAGGCAAGTCTAAAAAACCTTTTCCGCTTTTCTTTAAATTTATGAATACAGATTATGCATGATGAGGTCAGTGAGACAGAGAATATAAGAAAAAATTTGGCCATTGAACGTATGATTGTAGATGGATGTGATTTGTTGTTGGATGTCAATCAGGTATTTGTACGTCAAGGTGAGTGATTCTCATTTTATTTGATCGATATGATATTGGTTATTATGATTATTATTATTGTATCCTTTATTTCCTACAGGAACATAGGTCTTCAGCCGTGCGTCTCCATTGAGTTCTGTTCTCTGCTAGAGTCTTCACCTTGCTCCATGTCTGTCCACATGCCTTCATCTCCTCTTCATATAAACTCCTCCAAGTCACCCTTGCACTGACGACCAACTCGCCGCCGCTTCCCTTTCGAGTTCCACTCGAGCAATGGCTTGTCTAGTGATGTCACTTGATGGTTTCCTCAGAGTATGACCACCAATCCATCTCCATTTCTTCCTGCATATTTGTTGCACAATCGGTTCCTGCTGCGTTGGTTCGCTCATTGGCAGAGATCTCTGTTGCTGATCTGTTCCGGCCGGCCATCTGATCTTGAGTGGCATTGAGCGAATACAACTGTTAATGAAGGTCTGTAGTTTGTTTGAGATGCTCTTTATGACGCACCAAGTCTCTGATCCGTATAGCAAGTAGCACTGACTTCACATTGGAGATGAATACCCGGATCTAATTTTTGATGCTGAGGAGTGCTGTTGACCTCCACACAGACTTGAGAGTAATGAAAGCATGTCTGGCTTTTCCGATTCTTGCTTTGATATCCTCGTCAGTTCCACCTGTAGTTGAAACGATGCTTCCCAGATCAGTGGGTAAAAGAGGTTGTTTCTTTCAGGTTCCTTCCATTTATGCTGATTGTTGTCTGTTGTTGTGGTTGCTGTTGGTGGTGTTGCTCAGGAATTTTCATCACCTCTGTTTTATCTATGTTCACCTGAAGTCGGTGGCACAGTGGTTAGGACTCTCGCCGACCATTCACATGGTCCGGGGTTCGATCTCCTGCCGGCGCACACCCGATATCTATGGTCGGCCTGAATTTGGGCTACCGATATCCATGTTGAAAATTCCATACTTGTACTGAAAATACGATGTGGAATCAAGCTGTAAATCAAAATCAAAATCAAAAATTAAAAAATATCTTTGATGCTTCTTCTGCTAACTTGTTGCTTTTTGTTTGCATGTCTTCTAGTTTCATTCCATTTGTGTAATCATCGGAATATTAGGGGACCTAAAGATGTGGTTTTTTTACTCCAACATTTCCTGTTTTGTAATCTGAGTATCGGCTAGTTGGTTGTGATAAGTCTAAGGATTGCTGAACTATAGACGTTTCCGGTGAGTATCCTTCCATTGGGCCACAAATGTACGAAATTTATTCATCCTTTAATAGGTCTTGGACAAATTTGTTAGTTATGTTCAAAAATACTCTAAATTTGAATAAGTATAAGTTGTAATGACTAAGATTCTCAACAAATTTGATGTGAACACAAAAGCTAATCGATGCCTGCTTCTGTATAGCTTAGTGAACTTCCAAGAGTGAAGTACAGTCCAAAATTATGTTCCAGCCTTGTCCAGGACGTATCCTGCAAGAAAACTAGTCTCTCTGCTCTGAACATCCTCCTCATTAGTGCAGTCAAAGGTCGACAAGTACTCCTCATATGTTCCCTACTGCTGTGTACACCAATTCACATGTATCTACAGGAGAGGTTACATTAGTAAAATAGAATGAAAATGCTATTTCAGATTCTCTGAACATGTACCAAAGAGCTTCCAGTTAAAGGGACCGAACAGTCTAAGCTCTTCAATCACCAAACACCTGACAGACACAGGACACCGAGTAGACGCGTTCAAGTCCTCTTCAGTTTGCTTAGGCTATCGCTATAAAACGGCTGAAACTGGACGTATGTGACCCAAGGGAATCTGTCATTGAATCTCAATTACCCTGGTGACTCATGCCATAGTAACTCTTTGTTTTGTAATTTTAATTCTTATCTTTTCACTCTTCTCCTTCTTTTTTCCGTTTGGCTTTCATAAGATATAATTGTTTTTCTTGAACTTCTGAGTTCTATTCTATGTATTGCATCATCACTTTTACAGTCGACCTCTTATACACCAAAATTTGATCTTTTATCTAACTTGGTAGTTTCTACTAATTTTTACCACCACCCCAACAACAAATTTTTCAATTAGTCTTTTGAGAAACTTCCCTCCAACAAAATGTATATATATAAACTGTAATACTTCAGACACCTTATCATTGTGATGTTCTGTTTCACTATGATACTCTTATGTGCGTCGGTGGCATAGCGGTTAGGACGCTCAACGACCATGCACATGGTCCGAGGTTCGATCCCCGGCCGACGCACTCCTTTACCTCGATAAGCCAGAAATAATGATGGTGAAGAGGAAAGGTTGGGCATGAGGCTAGCAACCCCATCCTGTAAAATAAACACTGCTACAGAAACTTCAAGCCACTAGCTTGAAGCCCTATGTTCCACCAAGGAACGTGAAGGATAAAAAAAAAATGATACTCTTATGAGATGCGTCACAATAGACAAAAGTATGTTAAAATAGTGCACTGAATTATGTTATTATTAGGGACTACAGGTTATACGCAGCTGAAGAGAACCAGTGAAATTAAATGCATCCATTGTGTTTGTTCTCTATTTGCTCAAATTTATAAAAAAAGAATTCTTGTCTAAGAATAATTAACCCAGCCTAACTGTTAAACACTTGAGAATCAAAGAGGATATTGTCAAAGTGTTGGGTGGGATAAAAGATCTGTCTTGAAACGTTGGAATTCACTTAAGCAAAGACAAATTTGAGTCTCAAAGTCAATCATAATTTCACAGTAAACTAACTGCATTCGTGAAAAAACACATATGAACTCAGAAAGCAAAAAGTCGAAAGTGCCGACTGTTCCTCAGTTATCATTATTATTATTATCATTTTTATTATTATTCCCTTGCATTCCGAGTGGAACATAGGGCTTCAGGAACATATCTCCACTTTGCCCCATCATCTGCCGTCCTCTTCAGCTGGATCCACGATTGACCAAACTCTCTTATCTCTTCCTCACACGATCTCCTTCATGTCACCCTCGCACCGGTCCTGTCTCCACTTCGAGCGCCTCGCTGAGTTTTCCGTTGTGGATCACTGGACATGTGATGGCGTTGTCGTATAGCCAGCTGTTGAATGAGGTTGATAAAGACTTGAGCACTCCACGCCTCAGTGTTGAAGCAGTTTGCTAATTACTTCTCAGTCAACGCTGTCGAAGGTCTTCTCGAAGTCGACAATTTACAATATACATATATGTGCGTTTGTACATATAATAATAATATTTTACTTTATTCCAAAAACACTACTTATAATACAGAATGGAATTCTCAGCATTTGTCAGAATATTCCATCTGATTTACCTAAAATATAAATAAAATTAGAAGCAAAATTAACCAAAAGAATTTGTCCACGTTCACAATATAAAGTCAAAAATATTAGAAGCACGAATTGAGAATATTAAAAATAATAATAATAACAGTGAGTTTGTTTCAAACAGTATTGTCGATTCAGTTTGAAAATCTTAGCATGTTATAGATTATTGAGTCTAATGTTCTGTTGATATAGCAGCATGGTGAGGGGAAATACAAAATTAACAGTTACAACACAGCTTAAATAATGTTCACACTTATGAAAAAATAAACAAATAAAAACAAAAATATGAGAGGACTATAAATATAAGAAGTATAATAACAATAAAGTTTGATGTTGTAAGAGTGGGGGAAATGGTTAGTTTAGTAGTGCAAGGAAGGTTAGTCACTCCATGCCTAACACTATTTCCATCACATAAAGTACGTGCCAAATATGGTATAGTGGAATTTTTATACTCAGACGTACGTGCATAAAGTCTTCTGAAAAGACTTCTTGTTTTACCTTAGGAGGAGACATAAGGTTGGAGCTGTGGGTAGAGTGGATGCTCACAGTCTGACAAAATTCCCTTAGCAAATTTGTTGTATGACATCAAGTGCCTATCAGTGACAATTTCAACGATATGGCCCAATGGGATACTACTCGTCCTACTGACAGTCTTCAGAGTTCTACGAAGTATGACATAGTCATTTTTAAGCAATCCAGGAGAAGATAAGCAACGGTGAACAGTAAAGAAGAATAGGTAAGATGCACGAGTTGACAAACTGTAAGGGGAGGAGTGGTTGGGTTATGCCCCAGTGCCTTAACTTCTTAAGGTAAAAAGTCAGACGAAATATTCTTTTAGAAATCGCTAAGACACGGGAAGACCACGATAGGTCAGAAGAAAGAATTAATCCAAGATACTTAACTTCAGACTTCGTTTCTATATCAGTATCATCAATTTTGCAAGGGTCATATTACTTAACAGCTTCATTTAACTTTCTTTTACATCGGAAACTGAAATTAACAGTCTGACATTTGGAAGGATTTAGTTTAAGACCGTTAGACGAAGACCATTTGCTAATTCCTGATAGAAAGCTATTCATCTTAGTACAGTCTAGCTGGGAATTAACAGACATTGAAATAGTTAGATCATCGGCATACTTAACAAAGTTCATTTCGTCATCAGAGTGGGGCAAGTCATGCAAGAAGAAAGAAAACAGAAAAGGAGAAAGGACAGCGCCTTTAGGGACACCAGTCTAAGCAGGCAACGAATTGGACGACTTTCGCGGACATGCAGTGTACTACTTTATTCCTGAGAAATAAGAATGCAGCCATTTGACACCCCAACAGTCAGTTTGAGTTTCGGCAAGCTTGTTTAACAAAATGTCCTTAGGTACTGAGAACGATATCGCCTAAAAGAGTAGCTCTTTGCTGAACACCTTTTCTATTTTAATATGACTCAGATGGAACTATTTCAGCTAATTTTAAAGCTTTGTGAATGCAATTTATGTGATTATGAGGAATAAATCGTACTCTAAATGTCATCCATCTACGAATATTATGTAAAACTGAAAAGTTTATGTAGAAGAATAGAGCAATAGTATTTCAAAAGCTTTTGACGGTTGATTTTTCATAATTAGATAGATAACGATAAACTAACTATGCGGATCAGTCAATTCTTGATTTTCCAAAAAATTACAATAATAATAATGAACTTTTATTTATTCTACACAGCGAATATCACCCATCTGTTATATGTTTATTTTGAGATGACCTCGATGTTATATTTACACGTAGTAATGCATAAATGAGTGTATGTGAGTGTGTTGACGTGTTTGTGTGTGTGTGTGTGCGTGGACTTAAATGTGACTTTTAAACGATAATAATCGCCCCTGGATTTCACTGTTAACATACCATGATATAAACTCGTTATTCACTAATGTACCTTTGCTCAAAATAACTTGACATTTTGTGTGATTACATTTCCACACACACAATTTTTTCATCCCGTTCCCAATATCTTATTTAAGGGATTTATTACTTCAATGTATTAACAATGTTAGGTTTACATTTGAAGGCGATTGTTTCCGCCAAGTTGATGGTGTAGCTATGGGAAATCCGTTAGGGCCCCCTTTTTAGCAGATATTTATATGTCGTACATTGAGAATTTATCGGGGGATTTAATCGAAAATGTGCCACTTTATAGAAGGTATGTGGATGATATTGTAATCATCAGTGATAAGTCCTGTTCTGCCACCTTGATTTTAAATCGAATGAATGAAGTTCAGAATAGCATATCACTTACATTTGTAGAAAAGGAAGATAATTGATTATCTTTCCTAGACATATTGCTTAGTCGACGGTTTGTTGGGTCAATAAAGGGATCTATTTATAGAAAACCTACCTGGACAGGACAGTATCTTAATTACCACAGTTTTTGCTTGGTTCAGTAAAACAAGAGCCTTAGTGAGCGAGGTGCACCTTTAGTAGAATCCAACGAATATGCACTGAAGACACACTTGATGAAGGAGAAAGAAAGTTGGCACAAACTCTGGTTGATAACAATTATCCAGACAAGTTCATCAGGAGATATAAAGTAGTCAGTGGAACACCAAAACACCCACTCTACAACTCGCCCCTAAGAAAGACGTGTACATCAAGCTACCTATCCTATATGGGACATCACAGCAGCTTGATAACTAGCCAAAGACTGAACGCTGGTGTGGTTAAAAAGACTTTTTATGGAGCTAATATCATAATAACTGAGAATGTGAAGCCAATATATCCATCCATCTAAGCCTTTAGAACATGCGAAAAACGATGTCACATCCCACTGTATTTACCAATTTGAATGTACGTGTGGACACACATACATAGGGAGGACTTATCGATCTCTGCAAGTAAGTTCTGGCTTCAAAGCATATTCCTAAATGGCTCCAGAAGTAAATAGAAGCTTCAGAATCCATTAATTGTGAGAACAGGACACCTGGCTCCTCAGTTGAAAAACATATTACAGTGGAAACAGGACGTAAAATTGATGTTTACACGTCTTTTAAACCTGTCTATGAAACATGTTTGGGGCGTATCCTGAAGTTTGTGGAAGCCCTAGCTAGAAAGTTTAAACCACTTTTATGCGTTCAAAGCAGCAATTCGTCATCACACTAAATCTTCCTTGTTAAACTGTGTTTTGATACCAGTCAGGATAGATGTAGTATTACCTCTGTTATTTGGTTTAATGATCTTCATTGTTATTTTGACCTTCAATTTGTCCTTTTAACTTGACCTAAGTAGTTTATTTTCTCACCTCTGAACTCTCTAATAATTTCATATATACACATTCGAATGACAAGTCCGTTTGTGATGGATCGGATTGTTCGAAATGTGTTGTGGAAATACGACATTACACGATTCAGACAAATTACGTCCTCTTATTGCTTTATCTAAATTTATAAAAGGAACTAACTGTTTTAAATAGTGTTACTGCTCTTTTTTCATCACATAATCTTCACAGCTATATACAACACGTGACTGTTTTAACTTGTTTTTTTCTGTTTCTCCCCTCATTTACTTTCTCTGTTTTTTTTAATAGGCACATTAATTCAAGTTATGTGTGATAAACTACGTTCATCTCGTTCAAGGCTAAGCAATTTCGGGACATCGTGTAAAGAAAGAAAAGAGGCCATTCGTCAGGTGTTCCTATTCACCAATCATTTATTGATTACAGCTAGAACTAATAATGGAAAGTTGAGATTAGTTAAAGTAAGTTCGAATCATGTATTTCTTCGTCTTCTTCTTTTTCTTCCTGAAAAGACTGATTACTAAACAAAGAACATGCCATTGGCAGAAGTTAGAATTGAAATAATAGAGAAGATTTGTAGCTCAGGTGGATGATTTGCAATTAATAGTGTTCTCTGAGGAGCTGGTTGGTTTAGTTGCGGAGCTTTCGTTGTCCTTCTGATGGACAACATCCCCTTCAGTGCAATATTTAGCATAAAGTGAAATGATTTAAATTTCTCCATGAGCGATAGATAGAATTGTGTCTCCCGGTAACCATCTTTACACATGTGTATTGACCATTTTCTATTGACTTGGATTTTAAACTTTCTGGTCACCTGATTTACTTTTTATTAATTGGTATATTTCATCTATATTAACGTGTTTGTTAATTGCACATTCTTTTGAGTACCAGGCTTCTAGGAATTCCCTGACTGCACTTTTGGTGTTTCCTCTGTCTAAGATTTTCACATTATCCCAATCAAATTGATGACCATAATTGTCTATATGCATTGATAATAAAGAATATATATATCGTGTCTTTTCACGGCTGATTTGTGTTCTTGGATTCTGATTCGAAGGGGACGCCCACTTTGGCCGATGTAATGTTTGTTGCAGTTTATACAATTTATTTTGTAAATGGTATTAATTTTATCTCCTTTTTCTGTTGGATCTTTCGGTTTGCATAATATCGAATTAAGGAATTTTACTGGCTTGTGTGCTATATTTATATCAAACAGTTTCTGTATTCTGGCTGTTATTTCAGAGATATTTCTCATGTATGGTAGAATGAATTTTCTTGTGGTCTTTGATGATGGTTCCTTGTTGGTGTTTTGGTTCGACTTTAAACACTTTTTGATGACTTAGAATTCATGGGTCATTGGATCGGGTCCCAGTGGCTTAATGGTCTACAAGCTCGCTAGCCTTGTAACCAGAAGGTCCTGGATCCGAACCCCGGTAGATGCGTAATGATGAAGAGTCCCTAACTAGGCTGATGAGACAGTTGTCCAGTACTCCCAGCTGGTTTTCCAATAGTTCTCTAACTTATGTCAATGCTTATGATGAAATCCTGTAACCAATCAATCGAAATCCCTACAGACCAACACTTGAAGAAAGAATATGCCTTTTCGATCATTTCCTCATCGTCAGGTTCCACAGTTATACGCATCCATTCATAATAATGAAATAATTAGGGTTATTAACAACATTAATATTGTTTAAGTAACATCAAATCAATCAATAATATGAATCGATTACAGTCCAAAAGCATCTGTAAGTGTGATAATATGCGTCAACATAACACTACACACTGAAAATCAAACAAATTTGGAGAAATAATAATACAGAATTGATGGCTCCACAGAAGGCCAGGGAGGTAATATTGTCTGGCTAGACCAGTTTCTTCTGCACATGCACACAGCACCGGTTGTTTAAGGCGAATCACTGTGGCCTCTGCTTTTTGGTGGAGTATTCGGTACTCCGATGCATTCAGTGATTCGTTTGGTACCCGATAGATGAGGGTGGAGAAGGATTTTTCAATGCTAACTTTATGGCCGATATGGACCAGGTAGTCTAATGTCGGACTGTTGATATTGGTTTAAACAACACCTTTATTTAGCCACACTGGTAGGTGTTCCCAAGTTTCTATAGCAATGGCCAAAATAACTCACCTCACAAGTAGGAGTGGCTAGTCTAGTCTATGTACTTCATCTTTCAATTGACGAATCACCATACGTCGAGTAGAAAACATGACTTGTAGTTTACTAGCATTAAAGGTTCTTTGAACAGACTTCCTTGACTTCTTCGTAATTATTTCGTCAGGTATATCACTATCGAATTGCAGTCGTATATATAAAGGCTTCTTATTTACAGGTAGAGCTCGCCTTGTAACTAGAAGGTTCTGGATTCGAACCTTTGTGTTGGGTGTGTACTGTGAAGAGTCCTGAACCAGGACGAAACAGCTGTCCAATGCTCCTAGCTGGTTTCCCAATGGTTCTCTAACTGATGTTAGCTCATGATGAAATCCTCCAACAAATCACACAAAAATCCCTTTTTTCTACTTTCTTTTCAACTAAGTTGTCATGTACAATGCTAAGCTCATCTTGAATTACTTCTTCTGAGGATATAGTTCTGATGCTGTAGCTGACAGTCCTTATTAAATTCCTTTTGTACTGCAGAGGAACGAAGCTATGCAGCTATGTGTACACTGTCTTGTCCATGTACTTCTCCTACGCAAATTTCTCTTTATACTGCCATCTGGTTTCCTTGTAAGAAGGACATCTAGGAAGGCAACAATTCTATTTCGGGATTTCTCCTCACATGTGAATTTGATAGTGCAATGTACTTCATTTTCACAAAGAATGAATGTATCACCCATATATTAGCATTCTTTGAGTACCATTTTTCAGTGGTGTTTCGTTTTCATGGAGGTGGGTTGTAAGGATTGTTAATCCTTTCCAAGTTGTGAAGCTTCCACTGCCCACCAGTAAATCTTGGTTGCAATCGCCATCAATCGATAGTAATGCAAATTAACATCCAATCGTAACCAATGGAAACGAATGAGGAGACTCTAAGCGTTTCAGACTCTCCTGGTGAAGAGAAGAAAATGATGGAATACAAAAGTTCAGGATGCATGTATAAATATTTAAGGGACCGGAACATTCAAATAAATATTTGAACTTCCTATTTGATTACTTAATAAACCTGAGAGTTTCAGTATCTTCTGAATCTCCCAAATGGAGCTGGAGACAATGTGACCCATAATGATGATGTCGAGAGTGAGATCTCCAGAATAAGGAAAAAAATTAAACCTCAATTGGTTGTCTGAAGAAAGTTCTAAACAATATAATCAATCGAAAGGGTGTCGATGATGGCTATTCCACATCAAACACGGATTATTATTATTGTTTCCTTGGGTTCCTAGTGGAACATACGGCTTCAACTACACGTCTTCACTTGCTTCTGTCTTCTGCTGTACTTTTCACCTGCGTCCATGTTAATCCATACTGTTTCAGTTCTTCTTCGCACGATCTCCTCCATGTCACCCTTGCACTGACATCCCACTCGCCGCTTCCCTTTCGGGTTCCACTAGAGGCCTGACGCGCAATATCACCCAGCGGCCTCCTCAGCGAGTGTCCAATCCATCTCCACTTTCTCCTGCATATTTGTTGGGCGATTGGTTCTTGTTTTGTTTCTTTGTTCCCATAGTTTCTTGTTGGTGATTCTCTCCGGTGGCCATCTGATCTTCAGTAGTATAGAGCGAAGACAGCTGTTGATAAAGGTCTGCAACAGGCTGTTGGAAATATTCTTTATGACCCGCCAAGTTTCTGATCCGTATAGCAAAACTGACTTGACGTTTGTATTGAAAATCCGAATTTTGTTGTTGATACAGCCGGATAACTTCACAGTGGAGATGTTTCATATGATGTTGAGGCATATTTCAAGCCCTTTTAATTCTTTGTAGACAGAAATATTTAGTTGGCATCAAAGATACTCTTCCTAATATGACGCAAATCACCTGTTTCTATAGAATTAGGTGCTTAGAATGTAAAGTTTGCTATTTACGGGAAAGCAGTAGACAGCAGAGGGTCAGAGTGAATGAACACAGACTGCGCACACGAAACACTCACCTAGAAATGTATAGGAATTAAAAAGTTTGAATTCAAGATCAGCTTTAGCAGTGTATGCTAAAGACAGGGGATATGAGATCGATTTCGAAATTATCGAAATTCTAGGAAGAGGCCATCATTCACATAAGGCTGACCTATATGCAAGCGAAAAGCAACAAGTTGGCAGAAGAAGCATCAAAGATACTTCTTCACTTCAGGTGAACATAGAGAAAACAGAGGCAATCAAGATTCCTTGACAAGAACAACAACAACAGACAACGATCAGCATAAATGGGAGGAACCTGAAAGAAACAACCTCTTTTACCCACCCACCTGGGAAGCATCGTTTCAACTACAGGCCTACGGAACTGACGAGGATATCAAAGGAAGAATCGGAAAAGCAAGACAATCTTTCACTACTCTCAAGTCTGTGTGGAGGTCAACAGCACTCAGCATCCAAAATAAAATCCGGATTTTCAACTCCAATGTGAAGATCAGACGGCCAGAGTTGACAAGCAACAGGGATCTTTGGGAGCGAACCAAACAGGAACCGATTGTGCAACAAATATACAGGAAGAAATGGAGATGGATTGGCCATGCTCTGAGGACACCATCAAGTGACATCACTAGACAAGCCATTGCTCGAGTGGAACTCGGAAGGGAAGCGGCGAGTTGGTCGTCATTGCGAGGGTGGATTGGAGGAGGTCATGTGAAGAGGAGATGAAAACATCTGGGCAGACTTGGAGCTAGGTGAATACTCTAGGAGGGAACCGAACGCAATGGAGACGCACGGCTGAAGCCCTATGTTCCTTTAGGAATTAAAGGAAAAAGTAATAATAATAACGCTTTGCGTTTTTAACCATGTGGAATGCCATAGATAGGAAAGAAAGGAAAAGACTTATCACCTGACTGGAAAACTCTATTGAAGCAAGACAGGTAACCATTTATTCACACGTCTTCCGTACAACAGTCAATACACACGTATACAGACAAATATACAGATATGACAATGTTATGTGAATTTTATATAGTTGGTTTGTAAGGATTAGATTTTTTATTTTACGAGTTGATCACCGATTGATATCAGTTAGAGAACCATTGAGAACTAGCTGGAATTACTTGAGAGCTGTTTGGAAATCATCGGCAGTACGCAGCCTGATGCTCGCTAGTGACTACTGGTCACAGGATGGAGTTTCCTGGGGTCCCAGTGAGAAGTCGTGACCAGTGAGGTCCATCCAGATGTCACGTGTGAGGATGGATGTCCCACCGACGTCATTGGTTGGCGTCGCGCTAAACCACGAATTAGTAGAAGTTAGAATTCATGGACTGGACACTGAAAGGGGTCCTAGTGGCTGAATGGTATATGAGGTTGCCTTGTAACCGGAAGGTCCTGCGTTCGAACCCCAGTGGGTGCGTACTGCCGATGGTTCCCAAACTAGGATGAAGCAGGTGGCTGTCCAGTACTCCGTGCTAGTTTTCAATAGTTCTTTAACTGATATCAATCCGTGATCAACTCGTAAATTTGGCATTAGTCATTACAAACTACTGATACAGATGCCCAGTGACAAGTGACATGGAGTTCACACTAATTAATTTCCTTTCTCAAAGGTTTGTTTGTAGGGACTCAATTTGCTTTGAATTTGATGACGGATTGATATATGCTGGAGGACCACTGGAAACCATCAGGGAATACTGAACAGCTGTTTCTTATTAGTTTACGATTCATCGGCAGTACGCACCAAGGACCTTCCGGTTATAAGGCACGCTCTTATACTGTTCAGCCACTGCGACCCAGTCCAACGGCCTATAAATTCTAACCTCTATCATTTCGTGATTCCAGTGCCTCTGGTATCAGCCTTTGTCAACGGTGTGAGTATTTGTCCCCACATCCGGCCAGGTGGACCCCACTCATAACAAACGTTCACTAAAATTCCAAGCAACTGCATTTTTTAACCAGTCACTAGGGTACATCAGGTTGATTTTTAGGAGTTAGTGTGTAAGGATTTTATATGCCTGATGTTTGATAATGGATTACTATCAGTTAGAGAACCATTGGAAAACCAGTTAGGGATTACTGGGCAGCTGTTTCATCCTAGTTTCGGACTCATAGGTGATACGCATAGGTCATTGAATAGGATCTCAGAAGCGGAATGGTGTAGGAGCTTGTCTCGTAGCCAGATGATCCTGGGTTTGAACTCCAGGGGTGGGGGTTGATACTACTACATAGTCGCAAACAAGAATAAAACAGCTATTCTGTACTCCCTGTTGGTTTTCAATGGTTCTCTAACTGACTAACATCCATCCATGGTCAAACTTAATGCCTGAATTCTTAGCAGTGATATCAAGCTAGGGATTCCATATATTTCAGAGACTTCAACTGTGAAGTATCGAAGTCTTTGCAACAAGCCACTGCACTTTTTCATCAGTCACTGCCTTCACTGACTAATTTCTCTCGTTTAGTTAGTGAAATCATCAGTGACGCCGCCAACGAATTCAGGTTTTTTAGCAATGCAATTTAAGGTGAATTTTTATTTGAAAATGTGTAATTAGCAATTGACGGATTGTTTTGTTAACCCAATACAATCAGTGTGCATATTCAATGAGCCCGACGAAAGAGGGGCAAAACTGCTCCCACGTGTTTAGTGTGCTAATGACTATTTATAATTCTTTTGGCTACCGAGTAGAACACAGAACTTAAGTAGCTGGTTGTCATTTCACCCTGTTCTCCGCAACCATTCACAACTATCTCTCACTTCCTCCTATTCACAGGATCTGCTTCCTGTTTCCCTCGGTGGTTGCACACTTAACTCATAGTTTCGCATTCCCTGCCTGGGGCAGGTCTACTCAGAGTGTCACAAATCCAACTCAAATTCCCTCTTTATGTACGTTTAGCAATATGTTCTTGTTAGCCGAGTTGCCGGACCACATTGTCGCCTAACTTTTCTGACTAGCCAACTAAACTTCAGAACAGATCCATCAGAAGAAGCTATTGTTGACGAAAACCTACAGTGGTCCGTTAGAAATACCATATTCCTAGCCCGTGCACCACGTTTGAACCATATAGAATCCCTGAAATCGCTGACATTAGGGATGAAAACTTGAATACTCTTTCTCGAATACGTTGAGTGTTCAGACCGCCTTAATCAGGCCAAGAAAACACCTATCTCCTTTAGTCAGTAGTATAGAGTTCTTTGCAGTTCATCCAAGTAGCCAGCTAGCTTGAAATCGGTTGTTTTGAACTGATTTGACTGCTTGGGATGGGTCAAACTGTCTACATACACCAGTGATGATCAGCTCGGTCCCCAAACGAGCGAAACGGCCCGCCTATCCAGTGTTAAGATCACCTCAATATGGCTGGCCGACTAGCAAACACTACAGGTTGATATGACAAGGTGTGGTATATGACTGCTACTCACCTCAGTCAATCAATCAATAAATCAATCAGTAGTATATAGTTGTACTGTTATATCAGAGATACCAGTTCCCATAAATTCCTGCCAGAAGATGAAATATCAGATGAATGACAAGAGAATCTTTCAGTGAGATCAACTAGAAAGATGGTTATATCATTTATGGAGAATTCTCTAAGCTGAAGATATTGTCCAGAGTGACAGAGAGAGAATGTAAATAGGCACCATAACCAAAGTTACTGAATATTATTACTCTCCCCCAAACTCTTATACTTCACCAAGGTCGACAAAAATACACATAAAACCACTCTACGTCACTGATGGAACAACTTAATCTGATTGGTTGTACAAGGTTGAAGACTGTCCAATGTAAATAATAATCTTCTATAGTTTGGTTTGTAAAGGTTAGTTATGTTTTTTTCGCGAGTTGATCACGGACTGATATCAGTTAGATAACCATTGAAAACCACTAAGGAGTACTGAACAGCTGTTTCATCCTAGTTTGGGAATCATCGGCAGTACATACCCACCTATCAGGGTTCGAACCCAGAACCTTTCGTTTACAAGGCAAGCTCGTAAACCGTTCAGCCACTAGGAACCAACCCATTGGTCAGTCCATAAATTTTAACTTCTACGAATTCGTGATTTAGCACCACTGGCACCAACCAATGTCGTCGATGGGACATCCATCCTCACACTTCACTGGATGGACCTCCAGGAAACTCCATCCTGTAGGAAGTCACTAGTAAGCATCAGATTAATTTTCTATAGTTTGGTTTGTAAGGGTTAGTTATGTTTTTACAAGTTGATCATGGATTGATATCAGTCAGAGAAGCACTGAAAAGCAGCTGCGAGTACTGGACAGCCTGTCCACATTGTATTTGAAAGTGAAAATTTTTCTGTAGACGTAGTGTATGACTTGAAATGCCGACTCCAGTTTCAACTAATTTCTATGAAGAGTTCTAAGACACAGGACACAGGATCACGAGCTGAAATCATTTACGGAAGGATTAGAAATTCAGAGAATACTGGACAACTGTTTCGAACCCTGAATCTTCCAGCTAAAAGGAGAGGTCCTAGACTATTCAGCAACTGGCACTTATAATGTATGTAATGGTTCATGAATCCCTACTTCTGGTCGCCAGTGTCACAGGTAAGTAAGAGTCCTCTTGCCTGACTCTGTGGACGACTCCAGTAAGGACACATCACTCGGAGTTCTGGCAAATTCCTGTTTAAAGCGAATGGCTAGTGAGCATCAGATTTATTATGAAGTGTTGGTTAGCTAGGATTTGATTGGTGGTTACAGCTTTGATTAGCACACTTGGCGAAGTACAAGAATAGAGTCCCAGGATTGTAAATGTTCCAATGACCTTGAACGCATGCTAGTTATTGGTTTAGGAAACTTACCATTATTCTACCGCGAAAATGAACGCTGTTCATCTACTGAGATGCAAATTTCACCCAGATCACGTATTTCAGTACTGTCTGGATAATGGATTAATAGCACGTACTCGGATATGTACTTGTGGTGCTTCTATGAACCTGCAGGCGTATACGCAGGTCATTGATGGATATGTATTTAGATGTACAGAGTGTAGAAAACGAATAAGTGTTCGTAATGGTAAGTGACAGTCTCAGTTAATTGTCTTCTAGGGACTTTCTTTGAAAAATCAAAACTTCCGTTGACGAATATCCTGTTTATGTGCAATTACTGGATTTTTAAGTCCGGAGTGAGGTCAACCGCGGCTCAGACAGAAAATACCTTGACATCTACTGTTCAGTGGTTTCAGTTTTGTAGAGATTTAGCATCATGGAAAATGAACAATATTACACAAGTGTTGGGAGGAGTGGGTGTTACCGTTCACATCGACGAAACAGTACTAATAAAGAAGAAATACAATCGGGGACGTTCTAGAGCGAACAGCGTTTGGGTATTGGGAATTTATGACACCCAAATTCGGAAAGGATTCATTGAACTGATTCCAGACAGGAGTGCGGACACTCTTCTGCCTATTATTCAGAGACTTGTTTTGCCTGGCACTACTATACACACCTATGAATGGGCGGGATATAACCAATTATCGCAATTGGGATATATACATCATAGAGTGAACCATTCGAATGATTTCGTCGACCCTGTCACCGGTACCCATACTAATTCCATCGAAGGTTTCTGGGGAAGACTGAAAAATAGAATCCGAGCTATCAATGGATCACAAAACGAAGTTATTTTCAGTCATTTGGATGAATATATGTATAGAAATTGGTTTAATTTCAAAACTGAAACTCCTCTTAATAATTGGAACATTTTTTTATCTCATATTAGAGAAAAGTACCCTGTTTGATTTTTTTTCATGCTTATTTATGTAAAAATACGTAAAATTTTATGCAAAAATCATCCTTTTTTCTGATTGGTCGGCTCAAGGTCATTCGTGCGTTCGCATTCCTTGGGACTCTATTGTAGAACTTTGCCGCACACTTTCCGTCAGAAACCAAATTATTCAAATCAGATCAGGAGTGTGTGATATGAAATGGTCATCTGATGTTTTGTATCATCTCCATCTGGTTGGTTGGCTGGCTGGTAATCACTAGTAGTGGCTGACGTGAGTTGTATACAACCACTACTCATCTCCATTAATCAGTAGTATATGGCTTTACGCACGAAAATATTCAAAAACCTTAGGATTTGTTATTTTATCGAAGTGTTTATACTGATTTATCTATTGGTACTCATGAAAATAATACTGTATTTATTGATTTTTCTGTTTATTTTGTTTCTCTACGCAATTCTCATAACAACAAATAATTAAAAATAAAACAAAAAATGTCAACAGAATTGTGGTAAAATTTCTCTGGTTGAATGTACACTTGTTGAAGATACTACAGCGGAATTATTCAATATGGATGATGAAGGTGAGTATGCGCTAATTAAAACGTTTAGTTTAACTCTTATCGAACTATCTTTACCCTGGTGTTTTACTTACTGAGTGTTTTATTATTATTATTATCCCCTTGGGTTTCTACTGGGATAACATAGGGCTTCGATAGAAGCACATCTTCACTTAACCCACTTCTCTGTGGTTCTATTTATCTGGGTGCAGGGAGGCCCACAGGTTGCCATCTCCTTCCTAACACACAATCTCCTCAATGTTGGTTCGTTCTTAGAGTTTCTTGCTGGTAATTCTTTATTGACAGGCCATTTGATCTTCAGGCGGCAGCTGTTAATAAAAGTCTGTATCAACCTGTTCAAAGTGCTTCACATGTTATGCCTCAACTATTATTATTATTGTTCCCTTGGGTTCCTAGTGGAACATAGGACTTCAACTACACGTCTCCACTTGCTTCTGTATTCTGCCGTACTTTTTACTTGCATCCATGTTAATCCATACTGTTTCAACTCCTCTTCACTCGATCTCCTCCATGTCACCCTTGGACGTCCCACTCGCCGCTTCCCTTTCGAGTTCCACTCGAGCAATGGCCTGACGTATGATGTCACCCAGCGGCCTCCTCAGTGAGTGTCCCATCCATCTCCACTTTCTCCTGCATATTTGCTGAGCGATTGGTTCTTGTTTTGTTTGTTCCCATAGTTTCTTGTTGGTGATTCTTTCCGGCGGCCATCTGACCTTCAGTATAGAACGAAGACAGTTGTTGATATGGGTCTGCAACCTGTTGGAGATATTCTTTGTGACCCGCCAAGTTTCTGATCCGTATAGAAGAAGTGACTGACTTGACGTCTGTATTGAAAACCCGAATTTTGTTTTTGATGCAGGCTGAGTGACGAAGATTTCCAGATTGGTTTCAGGTTGATGAATTTGTTTCTCGCCTTCCCGATTCTCGATTTGACATCCTCGTCCGATGCCTCAACTAATACCTGGATATTTTAGTGTCCTGTAGATTCACAATAAAGTACCATTGTTAAACAATGTCAGAGGATAATTTACCTCTTCATATAAGTGGTATTATTGTCAGAATCGGCGATACTATTCAGTTGCTCAGCCACTCTGAATGAAGCGGAGCATATAACTTGAACCTTCAACCCAGAATGGGTCAAAGAACAAAACTCATTTTTCCAGCATCAATGTTAAGACAGTAAATTCTTCTGTATGTGTCAGAAACTTATCTTGCAAGTCACAGAAAGCATTTCCAACAGCTGTCCACTTCTCCGGCTCCATATTGAAGACCAGATGTCTGACCGGAGAGAATTAACAAGAAGACAATCTGAGAATAAACCAATCAAGGACTATTGCTCAGCAAACATGCGGTAGAGACATGACCATGTAAAGTGGAAGACATGGAAATCCAGGCTAGATGTCTTTGATGATAGATGTCTGCTTTCTACCTCTCTTGTGTGTTTGGCGGTATTATAAGTTAAGCACTATTGGAGTGATTAGGCGTCGAGTGCTCAATAAGGGAAGAAAATCAATCGACAACGTTGTGAAAGTACACCCATTGAGATGGTTAGGACATGTGCTAGACATGCTAGCCTAGCCATCAATCGCCACTCTCGACAACAGGCAATGTTAACTGACACTGGATGGATCAGGTTGGAAAAGAGTTAGATAGTGATGTCCAAACCAAAACATGGCTTCATCAGTCAACGAAATTTACTACAGTTATTTTAAACCAGCTTGACACACAGTCAGTTGTAGACTTCCTGACAGGTTGGGGTCATTATGATATCAAAAACCAATGATGGCTGGAGGCAATTGATGATATGGCTCAAAATCGTTCTCAGTGGCTGACGCAAAAACATTCACTCTTTGTGACTTGTTATATTCAATAAAAATCTACTGTTCTTCCATATTACTATTCTTTTACCCTCACTCACGTTTCTGTTTATTATCTCTCTTTTGAGTTTGTCTTTACTCTCACGCTTCTCTTGCTTTATATGTTGAATGAAAAGAGTGTGGCAACTGGAAATGTTGCACATCTGTGCAAGGTTCTTTGTTGAAACCAATCAGTTAGTTATGGGCGCGCGATTCTTGTGGACACAGCTGTTAATCCGACCTTGTTGCGAATATTCTACTTGATTCTCAGGTATCGCATATATACTAAGAACTTTCTCTTGACTTCATAGATGTCTTACAGCACTGTTGAGAACCGCACATGGATTCCAACCATGAATACTCGTACTTTCGCTGTCTTTGGAGACTATGCTCGTCACTGTGCATGTCTCATAGAAATTTCAGACAGCTTAACACAGGGGGTTGTAACATTTGAGATTACTTCAAAACGTAGGCAATTACTTGTGTTATTATTATTCACTTGGGTCCCGAGTGGAAGAGTAGACCACAGCACCACATCCTCATTTCATCTTGTTGCTCGCTGTCCTCTGTTGCTGGCTCTACCATTGCCGAAGGGTTTTCACTTCCTTTTCCTCACACGATCTTCTATATGTGTCATCCTTGGACTCACGCCAAACTCTTCGCGCGCTTCCTATTTGACTCTCAGTCCACGGCTTGACTACTGCATGATATCGCTGAAAGGTTTCCGCAGAGCCAGCACAGTCCATTTCAGTTTTCTTCTGCATATCTGTTGAGCAATGGATCCTTGATTGATTGTCTGCTTGCCTAGGTTACTACTTCACTAGTTAACTAGCCGGTCCTAACTCCAGAATAAATAGGAAGGATTTAGAGTGGTGGGTCTAGCAACCCTACCTCCAGAAAATCAATTCTCTTTCTAACAAACAGGAAAATAAATTCTTGTTAATTATACATGCGGCTTAGGTAACTATGTAAATGTAACGTATTAATAGGTGAACATAGAGAAAACAGAGGTGATGAAGATTCCTGGCCAACACCACCAACAGCAACAACAACAGACAACAATCAGCGTAAATGGGAGAAATCTGAAAGAAGAAACCTCCTTTACCTACCTACCTGGGAAGCATCGTTTCAACTACAGGTGAACGGAACTGATGAGGATATCAAGGCAGAGAGGATCGGAAAAGCAAGACAAGCTTTCACTACTCTCAAGCCTGTATGGAGGTCAACAGCCCTCAGTATCAAAAATAAGATCCCGATTTTCAACTCAAATGTGAAGTCAGTGCTAATATACGGATCAGAGACTTGGCGCGTCATAAAGAGCATCTCAAACAAACCACAGACCTTCATTAACAGTTGTCTTCGCTCACTACTCAAGATTAGATGGCTGGCCAGAAAATATCAGCAACAGAGATCTGTGGGAGCAAACCGACCAGGAGCCGATTGTGAAACAAACAGGCAGGAAGAAATGCAGTTGGTGGATTGGCCATACTCTGAGGAAACAAACTACCAAGTGACATCACTAGACAAGCCATTGCTCGAGTGGAACCAGAAAGGGAAGCGGCGAGTCAGTTGGTGGTGAGTGCAAGGGTGACTTGGAGGAGGTCATGTGAAGAGGAGATGAAAACGTGTTGGCAGACTTGGAGCCAAGTGAAGACTCTAGCAGAGAACCGAACGCAATGGAGACGCACAGGTGAAGCCCTATGTTCCTCTTTGAATTAAAGGAAACAATAATAATAATAATAAAAATACATACAGCTTCGATCGGAGTATCATTTCCTCTCCCTTCTCAATTCTCATAAACAACTCTAAAAGCGTCGTTATCTGTCTGTCTAAATGTATCACATGTCTTCTCTAAGAGAAAATTCTTATTTGTAGTCATCAAAATATTTTCTGAGCTGTTTCTTTCTCAGAGCAATTCGGATATGCGTTCATAGTTGTACATACAATTGTCAGTCGCATGTTAGTCTATCTATCTAATATCCGCCACTGTGAGCTGTTTATTTAACAAGCTTGTAAAATTCGATAATATAATAATAAGAATAAGAATAATAAGCTAAATAAATCAGATACAGTCTGACCAAGTTTATCGATTATTTATTGATTAAAAAATTCAAATTTTCTGAATCAACTGACAGAAATAGTTATATTTTTAGTATTTATTGTTGGATATTTCTCAGAAGTTATGAGTCTACATCTCCAGCTATTTTTAAATATAAAGTTAGTTACATACTACTGATTGACTGATATGAGTAGACACATGACACTTATTTATATCGACCAGTAATGCTTTCTGGACAGCCAGATCGAGGTGATCCGAACAAAAAATGGCAAAATCTATCAACCGATAAGAAAGAAACTTCACACACACAAAGGGTCAAAGTTCAAGTCAAAGAAACAATCAGTTCCAATGCAAGTAGCCTAGAAGGTGTGAAAACACACAAAAGCAACCAATCACATCCAAGGTCACCGGAAGAGATGATTAATAAACTCGTGGAGAAATCTAAAAGCTCACTTCAAATTGAAGTATGCGCTGAAGATGTCACCTAGTAAGTAGGGTGATGAAAGCTTCACAAATTAACTATCCAGCTCAGAGAACACAACCACATCAAGATCATCCACCTGAGCCACGAATCTTCTCTATCATATACAGAATGGCTACTTTGACTGTTTAAGGCTGAGCTCAACAACAGTGGTGTACCAGGTTTCATTCAATTCAGAGACCCTGATCACTTCAAACCACCTGATTGGTAAAAGTTAGAATTTGATTGGCTGGCCTCTGAGTTGAATCTCAGTGGATGAATGTTCTAAGAGGTTATCTTTGTAACTGGAAGGTCGTGGGTTTGAATCGTGGTGGTGGGTGTTTACTGCTCACTTTCTGATAATTTCTTCCTCAAGAGAATGAATACTGAACAAAGAATACTCTTTTCGATAACTTCATCATCAGGTTCTACAATTATATATACATTATGGTGAATGAATGGATTAGTGTTATGAACAACACTAGTGCTGTTTAAATAGCATCAAATGAATAATATTGATAGATTACAGTTCAATAGCATCAACATAAAATAAGCTGAATGTCAGAAAAATTAGGAAAGATAATATTACAAATTCATGAATTTCTAGTCTCCACTGAAGGCCGGTCAGGGCAGTAGTAGGGGCTGGCTGGATTTGCTTCTTTTGAACACAGAGCACTGGTTGTTTGAGGCAAATTGCAATAGCCTCTGCTGTTTGGAGCATTTGGTGCTTCGATGATGAGTTTGGCAATTTATTAGGCACCCGGTAGATGATGATAGAGAAGGATTCTTCCACGCTGGCTGGCTTTGTGGCCGGCCGGTTTGCACTAGATGGTCCAATATCGAATTGTTAATGGTTTTCACTACACCTTTACTTAGCCGTAGTGGGAGATGTTCTCAAGCACGAAAAATTTCTTCTTCATCGCTTTCCGCAGCTATATTTCCATAGTAATTAAGGGGATTAATTTGATTGGCGACATTCGCGTCATTTAAATAACATTGATTCTGTAATATCAGTAACATGCATCAGCATTTACCGTTAAACTGACTAAAAATCGGATAAATTAAGGAAAGCAACACAGAATTTTTGAATCTATAGGATAAACAACAGGTCAGGGTAGCAATACAAGGCTGAACCAGTTACTTCTGCGTGCAGAGCTCTGGTTTATTAAGGCAAATTTCAATGGCCTCTGATGTTTGGAGTATTCGATATCTAGAGGTCTTCAGTAATTTGTTGGATACCAGATAGATGATAGTTTTGCAGCTTTTTTGGATGAGATTGTCCAATATATAAAGTGTTCAGAACACCAAAGCCTATTTATTCTCCAAGTCACAGCTAAGAAGGACGTATATATCATAGCAGCTTGATAACTCGACAAATATTGAATGCTGCAGGCCATAAAAGACTTTTTATCCAGCTAACATCCGAATAATTGGCTGACTGACTGGTTTCAACGTAGAACTTTGCACAAATGTGTAGCAGTTTGAGCTGCCACACTTCCTCCATGGAGCACACAAAGCAAGAGAAGAGTGAGGGTAAAGAGAGATTCAAGAGAGAGAGAAAGAGAACATATACAAGTGTGACTGAGGCAGGAAGAATAGTAATGGGGAATAAGAATAGAATTTTATTTGATACGATAAATCACAAAGAGTGAATGCATCTGCGTCAGCCACTGAGGACGACTTCGAGCCATATCACCGATTATCTCCAGCTTTCATTTGTTTTTACCATCCCAAGGACCTCAACCAGTCAGGAATTCCACACTTCCTAACGTGCTTGGCTTAAAATAACCGTTGTGGATTTCCTTGACTGATGAAGCCGTGTTTTTGTTTGACCACCACGTGTTAGCTTTTTTCTAACCTGATCGACCCTATCTCAGCTAACATTGCCTGTTGTCGGGGATGGCGATTGATGGGTAGGCTAGCATGCGTAACACATGTCCTAACCATCTCAATCGATACAGCTGCTTGACAGCCTCGTCGATTGATTTCCCCTCTCACCTGTCTAGCACTCGACCGAAGCATAACCTCAGTATTGCTTAACTTATAATACCGCCTAACACATACAAGAGATAGAACGCAGACACCGATAATCAAAGACAGTAAGCCTTTTTGTATCTTCCACTTTCATTGGTGATATCTCACTCACAGTCATAGAATCAGAAGGAGCCAACGGCTAAGAAATACACACACTCTTTGATCGATTGCCAGCAGGATAGCACATCTTCTAAGCCAGAGATGGCGCTAGTTAGCATGTGTGAAACAAGCCTTCTGTATCCGTTCTGAGATTTCGTCGGTGATCAACCCGTTGAGACTGATGCAACTTCCAAGCTAAGTAGAGTGGTCAACACGCTCTACCACTTCACTGTTGCCTATCTTTAAGCCACGAGTCAATGTACTCAATTTCTGTAGCATCATCTTACATTTGAGAGGAGGGAATCGCATGCCGAATATCCGAATATTGCCGCCTGTTAAGGTGCTCAGAATATCCTGCATTTTGTCAGCTTTTTTACCTAGAAGGACTTAATCATCTGCATATTATAAGTCAACAAGATTATGCCCTGGTAACAATTCAATCCCTGAGTCACCGAAGTCAGTTAGGATTAAGTTCATTAATACATATATATTGAAACGAAAAAGAAATGGGGACAGTGGGCATCCCTGATGGACATCACTGGCTGTCACCACTTCAGAGGACAACTCTCCGTAGAGTCTCACGTGGTTGACTGCAGGATTACAAGTAGAATGCCTTGATCAGAGCAGTCTATTCTCTCAGCATTCCCTTCACACCCAAACATCACCATAGAACCTATCGGTCGACGGAATAGAATGCCGTTTTAAGTCGAGAAATATGACAAATGTTGGACGCCGATGGTGGGTATGCCTATGTTCCAGAATCTGTCGAATCGCGAAGATATGATCGATACGCCCTCTTTCTGGTCTAAAGCCTGCCTGGTTTTCTTTACGAATAATTGAGAATATGAAACGCATATATCCATCTAAGTCCTGAGAAAATCCGTGTAGTCACACACGCACATAGATGGAGGACTCATCGATCTTTGTAAGTAATGACTTCACAGCATATTCCTAAGTGGTTTAGAAAACAAATGGAATCCCCAGAACCCATTATTCCACTGCGAAGAATATTACAGAGACAGGACATAAAACTGATGTTTACATTCCTCTTTTAAATCTACGTATAAAATGTGTTTGGAGCGACTCCTGAAGTCTGTAGAAACCCTAACGGTTAGGAAGTATTAGGTACTGATGTAGAACGTTTGATGGTATTGACACACTCTGGTGAGTGTTCCCAAGCACTGAAAATTACGTTCCTAGAATAACGGACAATATAACTGGCACCACAGGAGGAGGCGTTGAATTGATAGTTACAATTAGAGGTGGCTAGCTAGTCTGAGCACTTCACCTTTTGAATTTCGGAATCACAACCCGTTGTGTGAAAACTATATTATTATTATTGTTGTTTCCTTTAATTCCTAGAGGAACATAGGGACTCAGTCGTGCGTCTCCATTGCGTTCAGTTCTCCGATAGAGTCTTCACCTGGCTCTAAGTCTGCCCACACGTTTTCATCTCCTCTTCACATGACCTCCTCCATGTCACCCTTGCACTGACGACCAACTCGCCGCTTCCCATTCGGTCGGGTTCCACCCGAGCAATGGCTTGTCTAGTGATGTCACTCACTTGATGGTTTCCTCAGAGTATGGCCAGCCAATCCATCTCCATTTCTTCCTGCCAATTTGTTTCACAATCGGTTCCTGGTTGGTTCGCTCATTGCCAGAGATCTCTGTTGCTGATCTTTTCTGGTAGGCAATTTGATCTTGAGTAGTATTGAGCGAAGACAACTGTTAATGAAGGTCTGTAGTTTGTTTGAGATGCTCTTTATGACGCGCTATCCAAGTCTCTGATCCGTCTAGCAAGTAGCACTGACTTCACATTGGAGTTGAAAATCCGGATCTTATTTTTGATGTTGAGTGCTGTTGACCTCCACACAGACTTGAGAGTAGTGAATGCTTGTCTTGATTTCTCGATTCTTGCATTTGATATCCTCGTCAGTTCCGCCTGTAGTTGAAACGATGCTTCGCAGGTAGGTAAAAGAGGTTGTTTCTCTCAGGTTCCTCCTATTTATGCTGATTGTTGTCTGTGGTTGTCGCTGTTGGTGGTGTTACCCTGGAATCTTCATCACCTACCTCTGTTTTGTCTATGTTCACCTGAAATCCTTCCTATCTTTAATGCTTCTTCTGCCAACTTGTTGCTTTTCGCTTGCATATCTTTCAGTTTGTAGGAAATCAGACATATATCATCGGTGAAGTCTAGATCCTCCAAGTTTTTTTGTGTGAGTCCATTTTATGCCTGTTTCCTCATTGTCCGCTGTTTGTCGCATTATCTTTAATCGATTTTTTCTCAACTTGATGATTATTATTTCATTTTGATTCATATCAGCTCTGAGTTGTATTCATATTCATATATAGAGGCTTCTTTACTATTCTCTTTTTTTCCAGATCAAACAAATCTTGGAAATGATCAAAAAAGTCAACAAGAAAATGGTTCTCATATGACAAGAAGTAATATCGCCCCTCTGTTAAGTTCATCCCCTTTAAATACAAATATCAACAGTGAACTGCATTCACGCAATTCATATCCCGCCAATATTGTACATGATTCCAGTAGTCACCAACATCCTCAACATCAACATCCTCATCAATTACACAAACGTTATACATGCCCTGATTCCACCCTAAATCGTAATACACCTGTAAATAGCTCTTATCGTGTTGATCAGCTGCACAGGTCTTCTACACCTCTGTCTTCTACTGGCACTGGCGGAATAACACAACAGTCATTGCCGACAACAACAACAACAACAGCATCAACGACAACATCTGTTTCATGGTTACCATCGCTGACAGTTCAGCATAGACATTCTGCATCGTTGTGCACATCGTCAACAACAACTGGTGATAGTGATGTACAGCATACTACAATGAGAAGTTCTATCAACCAACCTGCGACTACTATGATCACTAATAGTGGTAGCACTTTCACGCCTATATCGAATATGTCTAACGCGCCTAACAACACTGTACAAACTCGTAGTAGTTCAAATGTTAGTTATTCAGCAACGCCGACAACATCAGCAATGCCAACAACGACGACAACTCCAGATATTAATGTAGTGACGAGTCCTACATCCACGCAGCATCCAACAAGTCCATCATTTTCAATGTTACATAGATTTAGTAGTAATATGGGCTTGCTGAACTCGTTGAATACAACTACCACTTGTAGTAATACAGATAAAACAGACTACGGGAATTTGGATTTTCGTTTAATATGGGAACCTAAAAATGGTCAACCGACAAGTATATGGCTTGTTGCGTCAACATTGCAAGAAAAAGCAGCTTGGTGTTCCGACATTAGTCAAGTGAGTTTGATTCTATGTGAATTAAGATAAAGTTTTTCTGTTTTCCCGTCACGTTCCCCACTGGAACATAGGGCTTCAAGCTAGTGGCTTTAAGTTTCTGTAGCAGTGTTTGATTTTTTACAGGATGGGGTTGCTAGCCTGCCTCATGCCCAACCTTTCCTCTTCACCAGCATTATTTCTGACTTAGCGAGGTAAAGGAGTGCGTCCAGTGACCGGGGATCGAACCCCGGACCATGTGCATGGTCGGCGAGCTAGGAGCTTGAAGTTTCGGTAGCAGTGGTGTTTAGTTTTACAGGATAGGGTTGATAGTCTCACGCCCAACCTCTCTGCTCTATCAGACTTATTACTCGCATAGTGGGGTTTAGGAGTGCGTCGGTCGGGTATCGAACTCCAAACCGCATGCGTGGCTGACAAGCATTCTACCGTTGTGCCACTGACGCACGAAAAGTCGGCTAAAATTCCATGAATCACTTTGAAAGCTTTGTTAGAATCAACTTGGAGTCCATGCCCAGTATCGAAGAGATGAACTAATGTTGAGTTGCATAGAGCTTTGTTCTAACCCTTGTCGAACCAAGATTTAGAGTGGTGTTCAGGAATTCGACGATGAACACGATAATCATAATCATAATAATAATAATGACGACATGCATGTCAAATATGCGCAGGATAACACCAACAATAAGGAATCTAAATCATCAGTAGTAATTCCATACAAGGAAGGAACCTCGGAAACCACCTTACGCAGAATTCTTAACAAGGCAGGAATAAAATTGGCTGGCATTCAAACCCACAAACTCAATTAGAAACAAGCTTTGTCGGTTAAACGATCAATCCTGTGGAGCCTTTAAAACAAAACAATTTAGTTTATCTAATACCCTGCCTGCAATGATTGTCAGGTCAAATACATAAGTCAAACTAGTAGAACAGGGGCAGTCAGTCAGACTAGCTGAACATAAAAACCTAGCAAAATCTAGATTCGTTGACCCAAATAAGATAAGAAATCTAGAGAGCGAATAGTTCAGCTTTTGCACTACACCACATGCAGTTACACACAACCATACAATAGGATGGGATAGGATGACAGTTTTAAAATCTAATGTCACAGGGTGGAGGGAGAGATTGATAACAGAAGTTCTGTTTATCGAACCAACTGCAAATACACGTAATAGGAATGATTCAACACCTGTCCACATATATATCTGGAAAACTCTACTACCCCTACGACAAATAGGAGAGAACAAAGAAAACTATAAAAGTCAAGTTTCGAAGTCGTGTGATTATAATTGATGACATGATTATGAACAATAAATTTTGTTCGAGACTGTGTCATCCAGTAAATGATACTGTTTCACTGTGTGATATATCTAATAAACAAACTAATATGGAATTCATCCTATTCTAATTAGTCATCATCCTTATTTTAAAAATTTCTGGATTGTGCAATAACTTGTGATCTGAACTCCACGAATTAACTGAGCTTAAATTCCGTCATTCAAAACTTAGATATCTTGTCACTAACATCTACCAGAAATTTGTTTGGAAGACTTCTAACTTCTTAATTTCACCCCGGCCTACATACTTGAAACTAATGGACTAAAATAGCCATTTGATTGGTAACATTTTGATGTCAAACACTAAACTCAAGTGTTAGCTTGCCGTGGTTTGAGTGGTTACAGGATTTCATCATGATCTGAGATCGTTTAGAGAACCATTGGAAAACCAACAGGGAGTACGGGGCAACTGTTTCAACCCTATGTTGGATTCTTCAACAGCACACTCCAAAAGAGGTGTGAAAGCAGGACTATCCGGCTACAAGGCGAACCCTGGTGGCTGTGTGCTGCTAAAGAGTCTCTAAGTGGGACGAAGCAGCTGTTTAGTATATATATATTATTGTCGAGCAGATGATGGTGAGGAAGTGATCGAATGGGAATGCAGATTTCTTCGCTCAATTTGTTGTTGTTTTTTTCTAAATGCTTAAATGGGAATTTTGGTAAATCGGTTTTGGATTTCCCGTTGATTGATTGGACCAAATTATTCGGCCTTAGGTTGATGTGTCTGTCACACTATTTATTAGTCGGGAGAACATGTATGCATACACTGGGTATAAGACGACATGTGTCATTATGTCTAGTCTGATACATCTCCTACCTTGTTAATCTGATTGGCTATTTTCTAAGATGTCAATTATAGATGGGTGGTTAGATAGACAGACAGACAGATTTGTTTCGTCTACTGAGTAAATTCAAATGCAAGACCATATGAGCATTGTAATTTACTGTCTGTCTTAACGATAGCATCTCATTAATGAAACAGAAGTTATTAAAAATAATAAATTTATGACATCCAGTGTAACGAATAAAACCAGAATGTGTCGTGATCTGAACGCAGAAAATCAATCTTCGCGTTCGACTCTATATTTTTTCCCTATTCCTTAGAGTGACGAGTACAGCATAGGCGGCATCAAGCTAGGATTCTGAAGTTTCGGTAGCAGTGGTTTCTATTTTTTATGGAAGGAACGCGAATGGGGGGTAGCTTGCCCCACGCCCCACGGCTTATTGAGGTTTAGAAGTGCGTTGACCAAAAACCAAACTTCAGGCTACATGACGCCGTTCTACTGCATTTTTGACCAGAATTTCATTTAAAGACACCCACAGTCACAAAGTGCCCCGACGACGGTAAAGTGACAGTTATTTGAGATGAAATCTACGGTACTATTTAACAACGGTAATGTGTCAAATAGTCAAAACCTCCCAAACAATGCAGTTTGGCTGGTGTACGGATCAAATTCTTTCTCAGTTACAAATTAAGTACTGTAGAACATTGGGGGGGGGAATCGTCGATCTCTGAAAGTAAGGGCTGGCTTCAGAGCATATTCCTTAAATGGTTTCAGAAGCAAATAAATTGTCAGAACCCATTACTGGTGAGAACAGACAACCTAGCTCTTCTATTGCAAAATATATTATAGGGAGATAGGACATGAAATTGATGCTTACACGTCTTCTAATCCTGTCCATAAAATGTGTTTTGGGGAGTATCCTAAAATTTTTGTGGAAGCCCTAGCTAGCAATTAGGAAGTTTAAACTACCGTTATGCGATCAAAGCAACAATTCATCACCACAACGAACCTTCCTTGGAAAACTTTGTTTGGATGATATCAACGCAGATGTACTAACTATTACTTCCCTTCTTTGGTTTAGTGATCTTCATTGTTATTTCGACCTTCAATATTTCCTTTTAAATCTACCTAATCCTATTTTCTCACCTCTTAAATCTTTATGAATTTCATATGTATTCCAATGATAAGTCCATGTGTGATCAGATTGTTCGAAATGTGTTGCGCAAATATCCTGGACCAACGTGAAGATCCTAGAAGACCTAGATTTCGCGGATGATTTATGTTTGATGTCACACAAAATGGAAGACTTACAAGTGAAAACCGACAAACTGGTCGAAGAAGCAGCCAGAGAAGACAGGACTCCAGGTGAACATAGACAAGACGGAGGTTATGAAAATAACCAACAACAACAACAACAGCAGTAACATCCAGCGCCAATCACCATCAATGGGAGTGATTTGAAAGAGGTTACTTCATTCACTTATCTAGGGATCATTGTCTCAACTACAGGAGGAACGGACGGACGAGGATGTCAAATCGAGAATCGGGAAGGCGAGAAACACATTCATCAACCTGAAACCAATCTGGAAATCTTCGCCACTCAGCATCAACAACAAAATTCGGATTTTCTATTAAAACGTCAAGTCAGTTCTTCTATGCGGATGACAAACTTGGTGGGTCACGAAGAATATTTCCAACAGCCTGTTGCAGACCTTTATCAACAACTGTCTTCGTTCTATACTCAAGATCAGATGGCCACCGGAAAGAATCACCAACAAGAAACTATGGGAACAAACAACACCAGAACCAACCGCCCAACAAATATGCGGGAGAAAATGGAGATGGATTGGACACTCGCTGAGGAGACTGCTTTGTGACATCGCGTGTCAGGCCATTGCTCGAGTGCAACGCGAAAGGGAAACGGCGAGTGGTACGTTCAAGGGTGACATGGAGGAGATCGTGTGGAGAGGAGTTGAAACAGTATGGACTAACATGGATGCAGGTGAAAAGTACAGCCGAAGACAGAAGCAAGTGGAGACGTGCAGCTGAAGCCGTATGTTGCACTGGGAACCCAAGGGAACAATAACATAATAATAAACACACTACACGTTGTAGTGACCTACGATTCCGACGTATTTTTCCAAAAGTGGGAATTATCTTAAATCATATACTCTGCAAACAATTCACACTAGGATACATGTTAGAACGAGGCATATCTGATTCAACAGGCAATATATACCCAACATGAAACAGTGAAGATGAAATTCCGCAAACGTTTAACTCTAAATCCTGCAGTCCGGATATGACTATCGAATAACATTTGCTGGTGGATTTAGGGGTTCCGTTGTAACAGCAACAGATCAGCTACAGTCACTTCATGTTCATCAGTATTAGGACTGTAACTTGAAGTGAACCGAAGGATGGTGACTGGCAGTGGAATCCAGTACTACCTGCATTTCGCCCCATTTCGGACTCGTCAACTGGATGAACTTGCATTCCTCAATGACCCGACCGATAGCTGCTACCTTGACGTGGTGGTCGGGCTTGAACACTGCAATGACCCAACAAGCTATACTGGCTGGAACTTATGTTCCTGCAGGTCCTACCATGCCAGAAAGGTTGTTTGGATAGCAGTTAGACTAAAAGCAGTTACCCAATCCAATCCTATGATTTCAAATAAATCACAAAATATCATGCCGGATCGGTCGGGGCCCGGATTAACAACGACCGCGCTTTCTGCTGCCGTGTCACAGGGCAGAAGTGATAAATACGCTACTGAGACACACCAAATAAAAAAGAACAAACAAAAACAGGCCGTGTGTGACCGGCCTCAAGCAGTTGTCCCCTGGGCTCTGCGGTCACGCAACCAACTTCCACGGTGTGGGCAGCCGGGAAGTAACAATCGCCCTCACAATCCGAAGTGCACGCGAAACCCCTCTAATCCTCGCTCATCTTTGTCTTCATCTTCATCTCTATTATCTTGCCTTCCTTCTACTAATGCAACTCCTCTACTTGTTGGCTCTTCACTTCCCCTTCACTCTGTGTGCACTGATAACGATGGAAGCCAAAAAGCCACCACTGATGGTCTCCTAAAGCCACGCCACCAATTTTATATAGGAGCATTTAATGTTAGGACACTTTGCCAAATAGGACAACAAGCATCACTAGCCAAGACTCTGGCATCCCGAGCCATTGATGTATGTTGTGTTTCAGAAACACGCATACAAGACCCAAGTGTGGTTATTCACCTAACCCCACCTGGCCAACAGGATGAATCTGCAAAATTCACCTTGAGGGTGTCAGGAGATGCGACGGCTAGCTCACGAGGATTAGCTGGTGTTGGGATAGCTTTAAGTACTAGAGCAGAAAAGACATTACTTGACTGGATCCCGGTAGATAGCCGAATGTGCGCTGTCCGCCTGAACGGATCAGTGAAAAGGAGAAAGGACTGCACTACTCGCCGATGCCTTTTCGTAATCTCCGCCTACGCCCCCACTGACTGCAGTTCGGATGAAACGAAGGATGAGTTCTACCAAAAGCTGTCCAGTTTGCTGCGAAAGGCTAGACGCTCAGATATAGTCGTTTTAGCTGGTGACTTTAATGCTCAAGTAGGGAAATTGTGTCAATCTGAGAAGAATGTTGGTGGCACATACGGAATTCCGTGCCAGCGAACCGACAACGGTGACCGTCTCCTACAGTTCTGTTCAGATAATCATTTGTATCTTGTAAGCACTAACTTCAAACACAAGGAGAGACACTGTTTGACCTGGCGACCACCATCATCAAATCAACGCTGGACACAAATAGACCACATAGCAATAAGCTATCGTTGGCGTGGGTCGGTAGGAGATTGTCGCTCCTTCTGGAACACGTGTGTAGATACCGATCACGCACTGGTCCGCGCTCGTGTGTGCTTACGACTGAACGGACGTAGGAAACAGCTGGCGGTAAACCCACCACGTCCCCAGCTCGACCAGGGAACTAAGTCCCTATTTGAGGAAGAACTAGCTAAACACATATCTGAGTTTGACAGCTGCGCTCACCCTGAAGAAGCCTGGAAGAATATTCAGTCAGCCATAGACACAGCTGTAAAAGCTGTGAATAAGGTAAATCCAAAGGTGAGTAAAAACCATTGGATTTCGACTGCCTCATCCGAACTGATAGATGCTAGAAGACTTATTCCGGCGAGCTCCGAATTCAATGAGGAGCGAAAGCTGCACAAGAGGAAACTTACGAAAAGTCTCCGCAAGGACCGTGAACAATGGTGGTTGACAAAGGCGAAAGAGATGGAAAAAGCATCGGCGATAGGCAACACCAGACAACTATTCAGGCTTATCAGGGAAACAGGTGGTAAAAAACAAATGATAAGCGAAACAATCTCCGAGAAAAATGGCACCATAATTAGCTCCCAGGATAGACGTCTGGAGCGCTGGAAAGAACACTATGAGGAGCAGTTTAATTGGCCCACAGCCACACTTAACCTACCGGACATCCAACACCTCCCTGAATGGGAGATAGACACAGGTCCTCCGTCCTTAACCGAGGTTACTAAAGCTGTCACCAATCTGAAGCTAGGCAAAGCAGCGGGACCTGATTTATTGACTCCAGAGGTATTTAAGTACGGAGGCGACAGTTTACTGTCTGCGTTAACGGAGGTTCTAGGCAGCGTCTGGGAATCAGAGGAAGTCCCATCGGGTTGGTGTAAGTCACTGATCATCCCGATATACAAGAAGGGGGACAAGTCGTCTTGTGATAATCACAGAGGGATTAGCTTGACTAATATAGTATCTAAAATCCTAGGCTCAATAATACTGCGCAGATTAAGTGGTGCTCGGGAGACACAAACACGAGAAAACCAGGCAGGTTTTAGGCCAGGTAGAGGGTGTATTGATCACATCTTCACCCTTCGACAGATTCTAGAACATAGGCATTCCTACCGGCGTCCGACAATCATTATATTTCTTGACCTAAAGGCGGCATTCGATTCTGTCGACCGGGAGGTTCTCTGGCGATGCTTGGCTGTAAAGGGAATGCCGAGAAAATACATTGCACTGATTAAGGCACTCTACTCGTACTCATCCAGCCAGGTGAGGGCTTATGGCGAGTTGTCATCTGAAGTGGTGACGACTAGTGGCGTCCGTCAAGGATGCCCATTATCCCCGTTCCTATTCAATTTCATCATAGACGTACTAATGGACTTAACCCTAACTCACTTCAGCGACTCAGGGATTGACTTGCTACCGGGGAAGAATCTCGTTGACTTAGAATATGCGGACGATATAGTCCTTCTAGGCGAGGACTCTGACAAAATGCAGAGTCTACTGAACACCCTGAGCAACAACCTCCGCATGTTTGGCATGCGATTCGCCCCTATAAAATGTAAGATGATGCTGCAGGATTGGACTTCATCGACCCCTAGATTAGAAATAGGAAGTGAAGTGGTAGAACACGTTGACCGCTTCACTTACTTGGGAAGTACCATCAGCCCCAACGGGTTGATCTCCGACGAAATTTCAGCACGAATACAGAGGGCTAGGTTCGCATTCGCCAGTTTTCGCCGTCTCTGGCGTAGACGCGATATCCGACTATCGACCAAAGGGCGTGTGTACTGCTCAACAGTCCGCTCCGTCCTCCTTTATGGCTGTGAGACCTGGCCATTGAGAGCAGAAGACATGAAAAGATTAGCTGTCTTCGATCATAGGTGTCTGCGTTCTATCTCCCGCGTGAAGTGGAATAATAAGGTGAGCAATATTGAGGTTAGGCGTCGAGTGCTAGGTAAGGCGGGGAAATCAATCGACGAGACTGTGAAATTGCATCGACTGAGATGGTTAGGACATGTGCTACGTATGCCTAGTCATCGCCTTCCTCGACGGGCAATGTTAGCTGATATAGGGTCAGGCTGGAAAAGAGCTAGCGGCGGTCAAACCAAAACATGGCACCAATCAATGAAATCCACAACAGTTAATCTAAGCCACGTAGGAAGATGTAGACTTCCTGGTTGGGGTCCTCGGGATGGTAAAAACCAATGGTTGGAAACAATTGGCGACATGGCTCAAAATCGTTCTCAGTGGCGCAGATGCATCCACTCTTTGTGACTTATGATTTCCGATGAAACTGTTTTGTTCTTCGTTATTACTATTCCTTTATCTCACACCTCTGTTTACTGTCTATATTTTGCATTTCTTCTACTTCCTTCTCTTGCTTTGCGTGCTACATGGATTGTGGCGACTTGAACTGCCGCACATATGTGCAAAGTTCTATGTCGAAAACAGACAGACAGAAACAGACCTCAATGAGTTATGGTTCGAGCCACCACCAGATGACGAGGCTCACAAAGGACGAAATGCACGTCGTGAATTCTACTGATAATCACCATTCAGCAATTGAATTCAAGTTAAATGACCAGACATTTTTGAAGTATCTGTACGAGGAGTCGACATATCAATCTGAGACCGAGCACTGTGGTAGAGTATAATTCCATTATGGGTAATATTTATTTTGATAAAGTCTCACAGTGTTGGTACACAGTAATATTTATTGATGACGTTTTGAGCACAAATCATTGCTGCTCATAATCATATCAATCACCTTGATATGATATCAATGCGTGGTCGAACTCGAAAAACACTGTCAATATACACACAACCAAAAAAAGGTGTAATACAACTAAAGATTAAAGAGGGACAAAAGCAAATAAAAAAGGTCAATATCAGTGTGATATGCAAATGTCAGATTAATGATACACAGTCTAGGTGGGGGGAAAACGTAAAGTGATTACAAACTTGATTGGTGGATAGTGACTAGCAGTGGAATCAAGCCAGGATGAGCATTTCGTCCCATTTTGGACTCGTCATCTGGATGTTCCTGCATTCTCCAGTGAGTGATGATGTTCCCACCGAGGCTTGAACCCAGTGCTCATAGTTTCAAATTCCATAGCGTTATCCAATAGACCACTTGGGCCCCGAGAGACACCTCTTGTGTAACGGGTCACATTATTTATCTAATTCAATTTTAGATTTTCCCGTCGATTGATTGAACTGAAGTGCTCGGTCACAGGTTGACATGTCTGTCGGCTCCTTGTGCAGATGCTCCGAAGATGTCTGGGCATGTAATGGATGAGAACATCATCACTCACAGGGGATTGCAGGTGCATCCAGCTGGCAGACAAGTCCCAAATAGGACGAAATGCGCACCCTGGATTCCACTGCTAGTCACCATCCAACAATTAAATTCTAATTACATGCCCAGACATCGTCGAATCATCTGCACGAGACGCCAACATTTCATCCTGATACCGAGCACTTCGGTCCAATCAATCGAAGGGAAAATCTGCGATTGCAAACTTAGCTAAAACGTCTAAATATATGTATAAACATTATAAATAGACCGTCCAATAGGGAATTTCCAAATAATTCGTCCATTAAAATAAATTCCTTCAAGACTGTAGATAAGTCTTACTGACAAGTGCATACCGACACGTAACCCATGCCCTTGACTCCCTGTTGATTTCCACCGATAATTTATGTTAAGTCATATTTTCTTCACGAATTTATTGATTTTCGATTGATTGATTGATTTCTTTTTCTCCTCTTTTTTAGTGTATTGAACAATTACACTATGGTGATATTTTGAATTCAGCTCAATCGGATGTATCATCAGTAGCAATGCCTCAATCTATCCGGTGAGTATAACTTTTATAAAAATGATCGATGGGAATAAAAGCAATAGCAAGGTGTTTTCGCGCACAATAGTACAATCACAGCGCTGCAAAACGGCATTATATTTGTGCGAAAAACTGATTGGTTAAACACTTTTATTTTTACGAGTTTGACCATGGATTGATATCAATTAGAAAACCATTGAAAACCATTCAGGGAGTACTGGACAGCTGTTTCATCCTAGTTTTGGAATCATCGGCACTGAGCACCCACAAACAAATCTAATCCTTACAAACCAACTCTTGAAAATTAATCTGATGCTCGCTAGTGACTACTGGCTACACGATAAAGTTTCCTGGAGTTCTAGTGGGAGGTCCATCCAGTAAAGTGTGAGGACGGATGTCCCATCGATGACACTGGTTGGTGCCAATGGCGCTAAATCACGAATTCGTAGAAGTTAGAACTCATGGACAGGCCAGTGGGTCGGTTACCAGTGGCTGAATGCTATATGAGCTTGCCTTGTAACCCGAGGGTTCTGGGTTCGAACCCTGATAGGTGTGTGAGTACTGCCGATGATTCCCAAACTGGGATGAAACGGCTGTCAAGTACTCCGTGCTGGTTTTCATTGGTTCTCTAAGTGATATCAATCCGTGTGTGGACAGACTCGCAAATCAACTCATAAAAACACTTTTAAAACAGCTAATGATAACATTTGATATGAATGCAACATTCCTTTAAGGACGAAATACCAAATCACTTAAGAGCGAACAATCAAACGAAATCGGGATTGTAATTGCTTGCCTCTGTTTTATTTATATATTCAAACAAGTTGGGAAAGGAACAGAAGTAAACTCGTCAGGTTTTGAACTCAGCACCTTCTGGTTACAAATTATTATTATTATTGTTACCTTGGGTTCCTAGTGGAACATAGGGCTTCCATTATGGGTAAATTTTATTTTGATAGTGTTATACAGTAATATTTACTGATCAGTAAATATTACTGTATAACACTGTGAGACTCTATCAAAATAAAATTTACCCATAATGGAATTACACTCTACCACAGTGCCCAAGTTTTATTCTTATATCAATGATACTTATGGTCTTCCTACCAGGAAGCTTATCAACAAACTCACACGACTTTGTCAAACTGAAGCAAGATGCACAAATCATCAGACTTTTAACAGTCGATGTTTAAAAAATCATATAATTCCGAAATATTTACATCTACGTTCTCCAATTACTTCAAGTAAAATAACATCAGCTGCCGAAAATGTCAGTAGATTATGTCTAAGAGAAGAATTACATCGAGTTACTGTGAAACTAAATAATATACGAAATGAAATTGAAAAACTCAAACACAAAATCAAAGATATGATCAATGACAAAGATTATACAATTATTTTTGAAACATCCAAAAAAGCTAGATAATCTGCATTAAGAAAATCAAAAAACACACAAATCATAAAATTCAACAAACTTATTGAAGAAAAGAACACAGCAAATGAAATTGATGTCAATGCTTCATCCTCTATCGACAAAACAAAGTGGGTGATCAACCTCTCATCAAGGGAACTAAGCTCCAGTGAGATAAAAGTATTGGAGAAAGGACTAAATTTCAACGTAACAGTTAATAAACTAAAACCAGAGGATGTCATTCCTAACATAGAAGTAGCACTAGGTTCAATAGATAAAACAACGGCAGAAGAGGTTCGAGCACAATGTGCATTAACCCTAAAAAATCAAAAGAAAATCAGTAAATATAACTGTATAACACTGTGAGACTCTATCATAATAAAATTTACCCATAATGGAGTTACACTCTACCACAGTGCACAAGTTTTATTCTTAGAACATAGGGCTTCAACTGCACTTCTCCACTTCCTTCTGTCTTCTGCTGTGCTTTTCACCTGCGTCCATGTTAAACCATACTGTTTCAACTCCCCTTCACACGATCTCCTCCATGTCACCCTTGCACCTACGAACCACTCGCCGCTTCCCTTTCAGGTTCCACTCGAGCAATGGGCTGACGCGTGATGTCACCCATCGGCCTCCTCAGCGAGTGTCCAATCCATTTCCACTTTCTCCTGCATATTTGTTGGGCGATTGGTTCTTGTTTTGTTTCTTCCCATAGTTTCTTGTTGGTGATTCTTTCCGGCGGCTATCTCATCTTCAGTATAGAGCCAGCGAAGACAGTTGTTGTTGATAAAGGTCTACAACAGGCTGTTGGAAATATTCTTTGTGACCCGCCAAGTTTCTGATCCGTACGTATAGAAGAACTGACTGACTTGACGTTTGTATTGAAAATCGGGATTTTGTTGTTGATGCTGAGTGACGAAGATTTCCAGATTGGTTTCAGGTTACAAAGGAAGCTCATAAATGACTCAGCTACTGGAACCGGATTCACTGATCAACCTATAAATTCTAACTTCTGCGAATTCGTGATTTCAGCACCAGCCAGTGTCACCTGTGGCGAGTATTTGTCCCCCCCCACTCCCGATCTAGTTGACTTCACTAAGTGGTTACGACTTCCCACTAGAACCCACTCCAGACAACTTCATCCTACCGCCAGTTTGTAGGGATTTGATTTATGTGAAGTTCAAGTCAGTGATCGTTATCGCTCAGTGAACCATTGAAACTAGTGGTTTCCCTCAAGTCGGGTATCGGGATAAATACATGTCGATGGCATTCTCTGGCACCAGTCACGCTAGAATCACGAATGATTAGAAGTTAGAATTCATGGCTTGGCCAATGAGGAGTTGGATCCCATTGGAAGGTGTTCTCTAGCTACGGCCGGTGTACCATGATTTACAAGAGCAAATGAATTGACAAATGCATATGGAGGCGGTTAGATAAAATGGGTTTATGTTAGGTAACGCCACATTCTCCCCATGATCATATAAATTAGATATGGCAGAGAAGATTTGTAGCTCAGGTGGATGATTTTGGTGTGGTTGTGTTCTCTGAGCTGGATAGTTAATTTGCGAAGCTTTCATCACCCTACTAGGTGACATCTTCATCGCATACTTCAATGTGTTGAAGTGAGCTTTTAGATTTCTCCACGAGTTTATAAATCGTCTTGAAGATAGATATCTCATGGACGTCTTCCATATATAAAGGACATCTCAGAAATCACTACAAGACTCTTCAAACCTTTAGCAATTGATGTCGTACACAAACCAACAAAGTCACTTCACCCGATTCTATGTCAACCAAAAGACTTAACAACGAAAGAAGATAAAACAGAACATCATCTACAAAATAAATTGTAACAACTGCGAAAAACACTGTATTGGTCAAAGTGGACGTCCTCTTCACCTTCGTATCCACGAACATAAGCTAGCCGGCAAAAGACATGATATCCACTCCCTCACATCACTACATACAGATAACCATGGACATCACTTCGACTGGGACAACGTTCAAATATTAGGCAGAGGAAACAACAAGAATGCTAGAGAATTTTTAGAAGCCTACCTTGTATTCCAGTGAATCATCAACCAATAGACACATCGAGATTGAAAAAATTTATCAACTGATAAGAAAGAAACCTGACACACAAAGGGTCAAAGTTCAAGTCAAGGAAACAATCAGTTCCAATACAAGTAGTCTGGAAGGTGTGAAAACACACAATAACAACCAATCACGTTCAAGGTCACCCACCAGGAGATATGATTAATAAACTCGTGGAGAAATCAAAAAGATCACTTCAATGAATTGAAGTATGCGCTGAAGATGTCACCTAGTAAGTAGGGTGATGAAAGCTTCGCAAATTAACTATCCAGCTCAGAGAACACAACCACACTAAAATATCACATAAATTTCAAATCCTTACACTTGGGAACTTTGAATTCAATGAAACACTTCAACTCTGTTAGACAATGCGTACTTAGTAACTACCATCACGCGTCTAGCCTTTGTTTGTTTGGTGCAGACTGAATTCTATCAGTCAATTTCTGCAGTTTGGCTATTATGCCACTAGGTGGCTTGGCATCACACTGCACTGTGAATCGTTTTTATTCGATGGTTGAAGTCAATCGCCAGGAAGCCTTGGATCTAGGTGTTTTACTTGTTAGCGTATCTACTACCTTGAAAGAATTCATGTCCCCTGTGTGGGATTCGAACCCGAGTCACCCAGTGCTACATTCAGAGAGTTTATCACGAAACTGACTGTCTACTGCCTACTGACTGGAGGAAAGGTTACCTCGTGAAACTACCAAAGAAGGGCGACTTAGGACTCTGCAAGAATTGGTGGGGAATCATGCTCCTGTCGACGCCAAGTAAAATTATGAGTCGCATCATCCTGGAGAGAATCAAGGACGCACTGGATACAGAATTCCGACCACAAAAAGCTGGATTCAGGAAAGACAAATCATGTTCTGACCGAATCGCAGCTCTACGCGTCATCACCGAACAAAGCATGGAATGGCAATCTAACCTCTACCTCAACTTTATAGACTTTGAGAAGGCCTTCGACAGCGTTGACCACGAAGTAATTTGGAAACTAATCGAGTACTACGGCGTACCCCAAATATTCATCAAACTTATTCAATAGCCGTACGAAAACGGCACATGTCAAGTGATCCACAACGGAAAACTTGGCGAAGCGTCTGGAGTAAACACAGGAGTCAGACAAGGGTGCTTATTATCACCAATGATATTCCTAATTGTGGTGGACTGGATACGTGTCAGACAGTGGGATGGCCGGAAAGAATCACCAACAAGAAACTATGGGAAGAAACAAAACAAGAACCAATCGCCCAACAAATATGCAGGAGAAAGTGGAGATGGATTGGACACTCGCTGAGGAGGCTGCTGGGTGACATCACGCGTCAGGCCATAGCTCGAGTGGAACCCAAAAGGGAAGCAGCGAGTGGGAAACGCAAGGGTGACATGGAGGAGATCGTGTGAAGAGGAGTTGAAACAGTATGGACTAACATGGATGCAAGTGAAAAGTACAGCAGAAGACAGAAGGAAGTGGAGACGTGCAGTTGAAGCTTATGTTCCACTAGGAACTCAAGGGAGCAATAATAATAATATCACTTGAGACTGAACTATGATTATAATCGCAAATGTTTTATTACATTTCGCATTATTATTATTATTACTACTATTATTATTATGACGGCGAATGTTCACGTGTATTATTTAAATTTCTTCGACGGATATAAATGTGTGTATATATATAAAAACTTGTGTTTGAATAAAGCAAGAACAATAACAGCTTTTGCAGAATAAAATGCTACCACATCATTGTTCATTTCTTTGGCTTCTCATCTGCTGCTTACAGCCCAAAGACATCATTAGGCATAGCTACAGAAACAACTTTAAGATACTTCCACACAGTGTTCATTTTTAAACAAAAATCAATATATATATATATACATATATAATAACAATAAACATTTTATTCCGAACAATAATGATAATGCCCAATAGAAACTTTCGACGTTACGTAATAAAATGAAAGAGAGGGTGAAAATATCCAGTTACCAGCCAGGGCAAGAAAACACTAATAACTGCTCCTTTCTGAACGCATAAATCGAGTTTTAGCCGCTTGATGGAGATCGCTTCGGCAAACTTCAGGAGAATTGAACTCTTTGCCTGATTTAAAACAATCTTGCGATGTAAATTTAAAACCTATGTCAAGGAGAGGCTTGGCTATGGCACTGTTTAAAACATTTATCCTCTTGAGACGTAGGCTTTTTGGTACACGTTCAGAAAATCGCAGGTATTCCCTTCTTTCATATATGTGTAAAACTTGGGCATTAGTGGTAGTAAGTAATTCCATATTAGTTTGTTTATTAGATGTATCACACAGTCAGTGAAACAGTATTATTTACTGGATGACAAGGTTTCGAACAAAATTTATTGTTCATAATCATTTCATCAATTATAATCACACAACTTCGAAACTTGACTTTTATAGTTTTCTTTGTCCTCTCCTATTTGTCGTAGGGGTAGTAGAATTTTCCAGATATCCGCGTGAACAGGTGTTGAATCATTCCGATTACATGTATTTGCAGTTGATTCGATAAACAAAGCTTCTGTTATCAATCTCTCCCTCCATCCACCATGTGACATTAGATTTTAAAACTGTCATCGTATCACATCTATCCTATTGTATGGTTGTGTATCATTGCATGTAGCACTATAGCTGAACTATTCTCTAGATTTCTTATCTTATTTGGGTCAACCAATCTAGATTTTGTTAGGTTTTTATGCTCCGCTAGTCTGACTGCCCCTGTCCTATTAGTTTGACCTATGTATTTGACCTGTCATTCATTGGAGGTGGGGTATTAGATAAACTAAATTGTTTTGTTCTAACGGCTCCACTGGCGGGAACCTTTAACCAACAAACTTGTTTCTAGTTGAGTTTGTGGGCTTGAATGCCAGCCACTTTTATTTCTGCCTGCCTTGTTAAGAATTCTGCGTAAGGGGGTTTCCGAGGTTCCTTCCTTGTGTGGAATTACTACTGATGATTTAGATTCCTTATTGATGTTGTCATTATCCTGGGCATGTTTGACATGCATGTCGTCATTAATATTACTAATATTACTATTATTCCCTTCTTTCTGTTCTTCTAATGTAACTGCTCCCTCAAATACATGTAAATTTGCATATATTGATTGATTTTTGTTTAAAAGTGAACTCTATGCAAGTATGTCAAAATTGTTTCTGTAGATATATTTAATAATGACTTTGGCCAGCAAGCAGCTGACGAGAAGGCAACGAAATGAATAATGATGGTAGCATTTTATTCTTCAAAAAACCAACGTTGTTCTTGCTTTATACAAATTCATTAAGGGGAATAAATGTATAAAACTTGTGTGTTTCATAAATAATTGTTTCCCTTTTTTTCTATTCCATTTTAGATCTGATCCGAAGTTGTTTAAAGATGATGTTGACATTAAATTCAGTCATACATTGAACTCTTGTAAAGTTCCTCAGGTAAGAGGAATAGACAAGATGTTTAATTTATTTAAATTTATGGTAATTAGTGGAAAATTGATTGATGTATTGATTGGCCAGTTGATAATTTATAATAAATAAAATTTTATTTCCTTTGACCAATAATTTAAAGGTCTGTCTCCATCCCCCGCACTGTGATTCATAGAATTGAAGCCAAAAAGATGAACTACACAATTGAACATATATTGAATGACTTTAACTAACTAACTAACTAACTAAATAACTAACTAACTAACTAACTAAATAACTAACTAACTAACTAACTAACTAACTAACTAACTAACTAACTAACTAACCAACTGACTAACTGACTAACTAACTAACTAACTAACTGACTAACTAACTAACCAACTGACTAACTAACTAACTAACTAACTAACTAACTAACTAACTAACTAACTAACTAACTAACTAACCAACTGACTAACTAACTAACTAACTGACTAACTAACTAACTAACTAACTAACCAACTGACTAACTAACTAACTAACTGACTAACTAACTAACTAACTAACTAACCAACTGACTAACTGACTAACTAACTAACTAACTAACTGACTAACTAACTAACTAACTAACTAACTAACTGACTAACTAACTAACTAACTAACTAACTAACTAACTGACTGACTAATTAACTAACTAACTAACTGACCAACTGACTAACTGACTAACTAACTAACTAACTAACTGACTAACTAACTAACTAACTAACTAACTAACTAACTAACTAACTGACTAACTAACTAACTAACTAACTAACTAACTAACTAACTAACTAACTAACTAACTGACTGACTGACTAACTAACTAACTAACTAACTAACTAACTGACTAGCTAACTAACTGACTGACTGACTAACTAACTAACTGACTGACTGACTAACTAACTAACTAACTAACTAACTAACTAAATGGCTAACTAACTAACTAACTAACTAACTAACTGACTAACTAACTAACTAACTAACTGACTGACTGACTGACTAACTAACTAACCAACTAACTAACTAAGCAAATAACTAACTAACTAACTAACTAACTAACTGACTAACTAACTAACTAACTAACTAACTGACTGACTAACTAACTAACTAACTAACTGACTAGCTAACTAACTGACTGACTGACTAACTAACTAACTGACTGACTGACTAACTAACTAACTAACTAACTAACTAACTGACTAACTAACTAACTAACTAACTAACTAACTAACTGACTAACTAACTAACTAACTAACTAACTAACTAACTAACTGACTAACTAACTAACTAACTAAACAAATAACTAACTGACTAACTAACTAACTAACTAACTAACAAACTAACTAACTGACTAACTAACTAACTAACTAACTAACTAACTAACTGACTGACTGACTAACTAACTAACTAACTAACTAACTAACTAACTGACTAACTAACTAACTAACTAACTAACTAACTAACTGACTAACTAACTAACTAACTAACTAACTAACTGACTAACTAACTAACTAACTAACTAACTAACTAACTAACTAACTAACTAACTAACTAACTAACTGACTAACTAACTAACTAACTAACTAACTAACTGACTAACTAACTAACTAACTAACTAACTGACTAGCTAACTAACTAACCAACTGACTAACTAACTAACTAAATAACTAACTAACTAACTAACTAAGTGACTAACTAACTAACTAACTAACTGACTAACTAACTAACTAACTAACTAACTAACTAACTAACTAACTAACTAACTGACTAACTAACTAACTAAATAACTAACTAACTAACTGACTAACTAACTAACTAACTAACTAACTAACTAACTAACTGACTAACTAACTAACTAACTAACTAACTAACTAACTAACTGACTGACTGACTAACTAACTAACTAACTAACCAACTAACTGACTAACTAACTAACTAACTAACTAACTAACTAACTAACTAACTGACTGACTAACTAACTAACTAACTAACTGACTAACTAACTAACTAAATAACTAACTGACTAACTAACTAACTGACTAACTAACTAACTAACTAACTAACTAACTAACTGACTAACTAACTAACTAACTAACTAACTAACTAACTAAACAACTGACTAACTAACTAACTAACTAACTAACTGACTAACTAACTAACTAACTAACTAACTAACTAACTAACTGACTAACTAACTAACTAACTAACTAACTAACTAACTAACTGACTGACTGACTAACTAACTAACTAACTAACTAACTAACCGACTAGCTAACTAACTAACTAACTAACTAACTAACTAACTAACTGACTAACTAACTAACTAACTAACTAACTGACTAACTAACTAACTAACTAACTAACTAACTAACTGACTAACTAACTAACTAACTAACTAACTGACTAACTAACTAACTAACTAACTAATTAACCAACTGACTAACTAACTAACTGACTAACTAACTAACTAACTAACTAACTAACTAAATAACTAACTAACTGACTAACTAACTAACTAACTAACTAACTAATTGACTAACTAACTAACTAACTAACTAACTAACTGACTGACTGACTGACTAACTAACTAACTAACTAACTAACTAACTAACTGACTAGATAACTAACTGACTGACTGACTAACTAACTAACTGACTGACTGACTAACTAACTAACTAACTAACTAACTAACTAACTAACTAACTAACTAACTGACTAACTAACTAACTAACTAACTAACTAACTGACTAACTAACTAACTAACTAACTGACTAACTAACCAACTAACTAACTAACCAACTAACTAACTAACCAACTAACTAACTAACTAACTAACTAACTAACTGACTAACTAACTAACTGACTAACTAACTAACTGACTGACTAACTAACTAACTAACTAACTGACTAACTAACTAACTAACTAACTAACTAACTAACTGACTAACTAACTAACTAACTAACTAACTAACTGACTAACTAACTAACTAACTAACTAACTAACTGACTAACTAACTAACTAACTAACTAACTAACCAACTGACTAACTAACTAAATAATTAACTAACTAACTAACTGACTAACTAACTAACTAACTAACTAACTAACTAAACAACTGACTAACTAACTGACTAACTAACTAACTAACTAAACAACTGACTAACTAACTAACTAACTAACTAACTAACCAACTGACTAACTAACTAACTAACTAACTAACTAACTAACTAACTGACTAACTAACTAACTAACTAACTAACTGACTAACTAACTGACTGACTGACTAACTAACTAACTAACTAACTAACTAACCGACTAGCTAACTAACTAACTAACTAACTAACTAACTAACTGACTAACTAACTAACTAACTAACTAACTGACTAACTAACTAACTAACTAACTAACTAACTAACCAACTGACTAACTAACTAACTAACTAACTAACTAACTAACTAACTAACTAACTAACTAACAAACTAACTAACTAACTAACTGACTAACTAACTAACTAACTAACTAACTAATTGACTAACTAACTAACTAACTAACTAACTAACTGACTGACTGACTAACTAACTAACTAACTAACTAACTAACTGACTAGCTAACTAACTGACTGACTGACTAACTAACTAACTGACTGACTAACTAACTAACTAACTAACTGACTAACTAACTAACTAACTGACTAACTAACTAACTAACTAACTGACTAACTAACTAACTAACTAACTAACTAACTGACTAACTAACTAACTAACTAACTAACTAACTAACCAACTGACTAACTAACTAACTAATTAACTAACTAACTAACTGACTAACTAACTAACTAACTAACTAACTAACTAAACAACTGACTAACTAACTGACTAACTAACTAACTAACTGACTAACTAACTAACTAACTAACTAACTAACTGACTAACTAACTAACTAACTAACTAACTAACTAACCAACTGACTAACTAACTAACTAATTAACTAACTAACTAACTGACTAACTAACTAACTAACTAACTAACTAACTAACTGACTAACTAACTAACTAACTAACTAACTAACTAACTAACTAACTGACTAACTAACTAACTAACTAACTGACTGACTAACTAACTAACTAACTAACTAACTAACTAACTAACTGACTGACTGACTAACTAACTAACTAACTAATTAACTAAATAACTGACTAACTAACTAACTAACTAACTAACTAACTAACTGACTAACTAACTAACTAACTAACTAACTAACTAACCAACTAACTAACTAACTAACTAACTGACTGACTAACTAACTAACTAACTAACTGACTAACTAACTAACTAACTAACTAACTAACTAACTAACTAACTAACTAACTAAATGACTAACTAACTAACTAACTAACTGACTAACTAACTAACTAACTAACTAACTAACTGACTAACTAACTAACTAACTAACTAACTAACTAACTGACTAACTAACTAACTAACTAACTAACTAACTGACTAACTAACTAACTAACTAACTAACTAACTAACTAACCAACTGACTAACTAACTAACTAATTAACTAACTAACTAACTGACTAACTAACTAACTAACTAACTAACTAACTAACTGACTAACTAACTAACTAACTAACTAACTAACTAACTGACTAACTAACTAACTAACTAACTGACTGACTAACTAACTAACTAACTAACTAACTAACTAACTAACTGACTGACTGACTAACTAACTAACTAACTAATTAACTAACTAACTGACTAACTAACTAACTAACTAACTAACTAACTGACTAACTAACTAACTAACTAACTAACTAACTAACCAACTAACTAACTAACTAACTAACTGACTGACTAACTAACTAACTAACTAACTGACTAACTAACTAACTAACTAACTAACTAACTAACTAACTAACTAAATGACTAACTAACTAACTAACTAACTAACTAACTAAATGACTAACTAACTAACTAACTAACTAACTAACCAACTGACTAACTAACTAACTAACTAACTAACTAACTGACTAACTAACTAACTAACTAAATAACTAACTAACTAACTAACTAACTAACTAACTAACT